GTGATTATCTGCTATTTTGAGAATAGTTCGGAAATAAACACAACATAGACTGATTCAGCGACAGTAATTTTAAGACATAACTGAGAGGGTATCACACTTGCGCGCGTTAAGGTGCGCGTGCAGTTTTGCGTTGTAAGCCCTAAAGATGCAATAAACTGATCCATTAAGCCACGCCCACTGCGCACGTGGGCAACCGAACGCGCGCTTCTCCAATGCAACACACGCTTGTGCACGCATGTCGGACATTAGTCACGGCGGTGATTGGTCAAAACACCAATGGGCGGGGCTTTATGGATTGGTATTTTGGTCGACAGCGCATTGAGTACGCGCGTAGGATGTGCGCTCGTGCACAAGTGCCACCAAAGCGTGGTCGCAAAATGAATCAATAAGCCCAGTGTACAGCATAACAACACAATGATATTATTGTTCTTGACTCATTTAATGGCAAATCGCTGTGGAAAAAATTAAAGTTAATTTGAATGCGGCAACATTAAAACTTTAGATTAAAAGCTTTGGCATTAGTGCTATAGATAGGAATATTGTATTTACATTGTGAAGACGGTTTTGGAATGACTTGGTAATAAATATATATATATATATCAAGCTCTGTTGTTGTTTTTTCCGGATCAAGCACCGCTATACGTAATTCTTAAAATTCAATAGCTATTGATTTAATACAAACAATTGGGATAAAATAGATTGAAAACAATTTATCAAATATATAAGTAGAACATCACTTACTGATGTTTGTACACTGTGCTCTAAATGGACGGTATTTATTAAAGAATCAATATTCAGTAAGAATTCAACAATATTAACAAACATCGACCTATACTAATTATAGACGTAATATTAAAGATAGAGTACATCATTTGACATTTTTCCCCCGTTTGAAGCAACAAAATTGGTGCTTAACAACCAACTTGATGAAGTTTTAGCTCTGTGAATGCTGTATATTCCGAGAAAACAATATTCTAGGATCTCGATTTCAAATCAAAAGTTGCGAGTCGAGTTTTGAAATCAGCGTCCGGGACACGTTCTCATTCAGCCGATTGCAGCAACGCGATGTCACGCACTGAATTTAACCACACTGAATTCGCACTGAATTCTAGCAACCGCGCGCGCGCGTGCGTCGTGTCAACGCTTGCGCGCATCAATTCACAGCTTCGTCGAAATAAAAATGAACTATACTAACGGAAATTTCCAAAATGCGTCTTTAGATGCATCTTTGGAAATGACCTTTTTTTATTTTCTTCAAAATGACAGCATGCATGCCAGAAAGAATAATTTCACCGGGAGTTTAGTGCCATTACTATCTTTAAACTAAGTATGCTTTTCAACAATAATTTCGTCAGTTGCTTTTTAGATAGCTGCAAGTTATGTACTCTACCTTTAATAATGATTGTATGTGTTCCTGCACCGCTTGTTGATCAGCACACCTTCCTAAAGAACTAGTTACCCAAGTTTCTGCTCATCTGTATCAGACCGGCTAATTTTGAGCAGTAAAATAATAATGTGCTTGCTATTTTATAGCACTTCATATTTGACATTTGTCTAAATTTCTCAAACTATTTCACAATTATTACCCCTGATTATCAGACCATACCATCAGTTTTCATGGGTAAGACCCTTATTATGTACATTTGTTCTGTGTTCGATGACTTTGGCAACATCAATAAGCAATCAATGGAATGTACGAACAGGATAAATCAAGGGTTTTTTTTCCAAATCAAATACGATAGTAATTTACTCAGTCACAAATGCTTTGGCTTAATTTGACTAAATACATGTCTTTCATTTTGAATAAACAAGTTTTACATAATTAAACTGACAAGTAATTTCGAAATGCTTTTTAGTGAGCTGCAAGTTGTCTAGCAAAATGTAAATCTTAGAAAAAAATACAAAGAAACAAGCACACAAACGTAAGAAAGAGTAATTAAATGATGTAATTTACAATGTCAAATGGTACGCAAAACAGCGCTATCAAATCAGCATTATTGATCATACCAATGTCCGTGAAAATCATGAACATCTGTAGAAGTAAAAAACGCCTAACATATGACAACATACGCCAAGTAAAAGGAGTCACCTCACTAAATATAAAAGATAAGTTGCGCTTATTGCGGCATGTTTATCCGCAGTAGCCCCGTTGTGTGGAATATTAGAGTACGACAGATATGTGATGGTGCCTTTGATGATATAAGCATGGAATTTGGCACACAGTCAGAGTATGTCATGAGACAGATATTTGGCTGTAGGGCCATTGCAGATTTGTCCTTTGAAAAAAAATATAGGTATAACAAGCAATTGTCAACATTTTCAAATGGCTGCCGTTGCTTGTTATTCGACCTATATTTTTTATACTTGAAAAGTACATGAGTGATTTGAATGATTCTTGTACTAAAAGAAAGCTTATGGATTGGGCTTTCATATCCTAGATTTTAAAAATGCTACATGCAGAACTTCCCTAAAACAATGGTCCCAACATTTGGGTTTCGGTTTTTTTTACTCACCCTGTACAGGTGAATTAACCCAGATCATCACGACCTTGACGACCTCCAACCATGAGTACAGATTTAAGAGAAAAACTTTCCCAGGGTTAGGAAATGACAAAATATACACTTGATCGGAATTTTCCAAAATGCATGTTGCTCAATGGACTTAATAGGAAAACGTTTTCAGCAGTGTAAACCAAAAATAAAATTCTCATCGTGAACATTTGTTTTATCACAAAACACAAACACTTCAAAAACAGAAAAGTGAAAATAAACATCCGAAAACACAGGAAATTCTAATACATAAGGAAAAATACACGGCACGTCAGAGAAACAAATCCAATTTCTTCGTTATCCCAAGGGAATAATCATTTGAGTGGATTGTTATTTGTTTTGTTCGGGAAATTTCTTTCTGGAAATATTGTTGTTTGTATTTAAACGATCGGGTTTCAGTTTTTGCTCGTGGGAGAATTTGCTATACGTGTACATGCGCTGTGAAAATTCTCCTTGTAGAAACAACACCAGCTTATAATGTTTTGTACCTACAATAAAAAAAATATCATTTTAGTGGGGCGAATATGGGAAATATTTGGGGAATTGTACCTTTGATATCAATACAAGCCTGGAATTTGGTAAACTGTCAGAGTGTGTCCTAAGGAAGATATGAACAAAATATAGGTAGAATAACAAGCAATGGCCGCCATACCTATATTTCTTTTACAGGACAAACTTGTGATGGCCCTTTTGCCAAATATCTTTCTTAGGACATAATCTCACAATGTGCCAAATGCAATACTTGCATCATCAAAGGCACAATTCCTGCACCTATATATCTGCCGCACTACTGGACATTCTTTTGAAATTGAAAAGAGGAATTTTATAAGATTTTGACAACTGTGTGGCAAAATCATATGAAAAGCTTTATGTCCCTGGTCAGATAGGCCCAGAATCCGGGTTTAATTTCTCATTATACTTTTAGTTTTAAAATACCACCTGTCCAGGTCAAAAGTACAATTATATGGATCAGTTTTTCTGGTCATATTGACGTTGAAACATTGGCACAAAGTTTTCGTGCTATGACCCTGAAAAGTATAAGTCCAAGTACAATGTACATGTAGAACCTGAATTCCAGGTCAAATGTTTATAGGGTAGAACTACTATAGCATGAATTTTACCATGCATGATTTCTCAGTAAAAATGGAAAATGTGAATTTCGGAATTTCGATAAACTTATGTCTTCTCTACGTCGATCACTACTTTCTTCATTCGCACTATAAAACAGCACATGTTGAACGCATGATATTACCAAAGTAACTGCAAACAGCAAATAAATACTTGAATGTACAAAACTTAAAAAAAAAAAACACAGCACAAAACGTATAATTTTGTTCAGAATTTACGAACTGGCAAGACTTCAGTTTTCTTTCGATTAATTAAATGTTGATACAATTTAGTAATATAATTTTGTAGATTGATATCTTTTTATCAAAATGAACAATGTGATGAGTTGTCAAACGGCAAAATGCTAAATTCTACTGTACATGGAAGGAATTCATTTTACATACAATGCCCCAAAAAATGGCAAGTCTACAGGAAAATTAAGTAGTACTAATCTGTTTGTAAAATATATTTGTTTTATATTGTAACAATTAAATGGAGAGTTGACGAAAAATCTAGAACATTACAAGTATTCAGCCTTAATTTAATTTAATAATAATGACGTACACTGTGCAAAAATTTGGAAAATCAGGTTCACAGTGTATAAAATAAAAACGAAATCAAAAGTTTAGAGGGTGTAAGGGAACATAAAAGAAAGTTGATTTAAAATTCTCAGCTTTTTAAGGTCAACATTGAACGTCAAGAACAGCCAAGGATTATCGATGTTTCCCACTGTAACTTCTAAAAAATTACACCTGTTTAAATAAAAGCATTTGTTTATTTCTGATCAGAGTACTGTTTCAATTCTCATCCAATGAAAAATGTTTTTGGTGCACTCTGTAAGTACTGTGGAAGCCTAGTTACAAGGTGCACTGCTGTGAATTCTTTCTCCCACGGTAGGCAACAAAACGTTCTGATTTCTACAAACGAAATGGTGGCAACTTAGAAACATTTGTGTGAAACCAATTATTTCAAAGAAGCATAGACAAGGTGCATAGGCATACATGGATGTCCTTTAAGCTTCAGAGGCACAAAATCATGAGACTGTAGCCTGAGGTGCTTGTGTTGGATCACAAGTAAAAGATTAGTCCGTTCACAAGTAAATCACAGATCTGGTCACAACTTAATCACAATGCCAGTTAAACACGGAATGAACAATAGCAACAGAATGCATTTGTCATAGTTCATTCGGGAATCAGGTTGGCGTAGCGATACTCTTCTTGCCTTCCACCGCTGTGACCCGTGTTTAATTCCCGCCTGTGCCAATATGTGGACTGGGTTTTCAGTCCCTGCCTGATTCCATGGGTTTTCCCTAGAATATCATTCTGGGGTTTTCCTCCCACCCCTCTAAAACTTTAATTTCTTCTCATTGTCTTCTCTTTACAGTTTCCTTCAGGCTTGCGAGCTACAGTGCCTGGGGCGCTTTTGAGGATTCCTTGGTTTCATCACCAGAAATGTTTAATTATAATTCCAATAGCATGTGAGTTCACCTGGGACTGAATAGTTTGTGATTTACTAATTACTAGTAATGACTTACCGGTATTATGACTTGTGATTGGATTGTGATGGGCTTGTGATGACTCATGTGAACAATCACGAGTACCTCCACTACAACACTGAGGTTTTGGCCCCCTCCCCAGCTAGACTATATCTGTCCGAGGTTGGCCCACGGCAGCCAACGCTTGTTCCAGGTCTCGTTTTTGTTCCATCAGCTGCTTCTGCATAGTATCATTGTCTTGTCTTAGTACCCTCAATTCTTCTTCCCTACTTGGGGTGACGCCTTCCAACCCCTCACCCCTCCTAGAGGTACCGTGCTCATCCCTGCGCTTACTACCATGTCTCTTAGAGCTGTGTCTATGCTTGTCAGACAGATCACTGTAGTTTTGAAGACTCTCCCCGTAGAGCCCGTAAGGACCTCTCGAGTCGACGCTTCTGGGTGATTGATGTGTGTACAAGGCTGGGTTTGTGTGGTATGCTGGCTGACCGGTGTATCTTGGTAGTTCAGAGGATTCTCTCAGACTATTGTAGGGGGATGTTTGATTAGCCGGGGTGTACCCAGTGGTGGGTAATGACTGGTACCCCTGTGGGGGAGGTATGGGTGGGGGGTTCCGGAATGAAAGTCTGTCCGTGTATCCAGGCAGGGTGCTGAATGGATTCGCAGAGAGGCTGGAGCTTGGAGGGTACCCTTGTGCAGAATAGGAAGTTGTGGGTCTGGGTTCTAGATCTTCAGGTTGCATGTACACATCCTGGATCGGTCTGTCTTGTCCAGGTTGGTAGGCCGGGTAAGGCGGGCCAGGGGTGGCAGGTAAGTTGAGGGAGGACATCTTGAGACTGAAGGCGTCGTCGAGCATGCGGGAGAGGTGATTGCGTTCCACGGCCCAGCGCCGCTTGATCTCTAAGTCACGCTGTTGCTGCTGCTGCTGTTCTAAGAGAAGTTCCTCTGGTGTCAGCTGAATACGTGAAATGTGAAAATAATTCTAGGATGGTGAAATTAAACAGTGACTGAATGGCAATGCTGTAGTTCAAGGTACTCACAAGTCTGGTCAGAAGTAAATCTCCAAGTCATTTCAAAAGTCCAGTCACAAGTAGCAGTAACTAAGGATTGCCTTTGTCACAGTTCATCTGAACAGCTTGTGACTTGACTTGGGACTGGATGACTTGTGATGGACTTGTAAAGACTTGTGGTAAATGTAAATTGCAAGTACCTCTGCCACAACCCTGCTGAATGGGAATGGGATTGGGAACGTTCGGTTGTCAGAGTGGTACTTGCCTTGCGTTCCATCTCTGTGACCACGGTTTAGAATCCCACTCAGTCTGACTTTGGATTTGGTTTTCAGTCCCTGCCTAATTTCGATGATTTTCTGTGATTAACGATTGTCGGTTCACCTCCAACATATGAAAACTGAACATTTTCTTTGCATGTCTTCTCCCTCATGGAATTGAAATGTAAATTAACAGTGAACAGATATTGAACAAAAAAGGAACAAGAAGGAATCATCTCATGTGTTATATATGGGATAAGTTGAAGGTAAACAGATTTGGAAAGGCTACACAAAATTGGAAAGAAAATGATGTAATTAATTACCTAATTAATAAATAAACACGGTGCCAACAAGAGAACAAACATCTGACCTTATGGTATTGAGCTGGCTCCGTTGGCCGGTATCCATACTTGGCATTATTGACTGGAGGTTGGTTGCCTAGCAACATAGCCATCTCAGCCCTCATGTCCTCTGCAGTTCGACCCAGTTTACCACTCGTGGTGTCAAAGGTCAAACCGGCCTACAGAGCATTCAAGTCAATGTTAGACCAACTCGATGTACTGACTAGAAAACGTACGCCCCGTATGTAAAAGTGCTTTGCCTTTTGGCCAGATCACTTCTGGTCTTTTGGACGCACTTACGGAAAGGAAAATAGTTTGATGTACAGGCATGCAACTGGGAAATCACAAAAAAAGAGGAAATTCACATTTTTCCCAGACGTTGTACAGTGTTTTTCTATTTTCAATGGCACACATGGGAAATAAAAAAAGAGGAAATCAGCTGATTCGAGAAAAAGTTGCATTTTTGGATGTAGCACGGCTTTCCATAGGTGATACAGCCGTTGTGGTTTACAATAAACGTGTAATATTTTCAAATGTTATAAAACATGAACCAGGATGAATGAAAACTTGAACAGCAAAAGAAAAAAGGTGAACCACATCGTTTGAAAACAGAACCATGAGAAAAATCTGTTCTTTTTTTGAACAGCGCAGTCTTCTCAACATGGCAACCAAATTAGTGTTCTGCAATGCGCTATCCGTCAGTGAAGAGATCAGTGATCAAATCAGTTAGACCTGAACCCCCCCCCCCCCTCCCCCATCAGATTCTTCAAAATCCCCCGAGGGGGTTGCGGGATTTGGAAAAAGTGCAGCCAAGCCGCTAGTACTTAGCACAGGGGGGTTGATGCCCTTTAGTACAAAGCATGTCCCAACAATTTCCTGAATAGGGGAGTTCTTTTGAAGATTTTACGAAGATTTCCGGTAACACTGGGCGGGAATTATAATTCATTAAATTTTGAATCTCAGGAAAAAAATGAATACACTGGTGACTAGTCATGTTTCATTATGCCAGCAGAATAAAAACAAAACATTGAAGACTTATACTGCAACACAGACTGCAGAATTTTAGATATGAGATTTATATATTACAGCAGGGTCTGAAATATTTTACATCTCACTTAAAAAAAAATGCTTTATTTCGCTGTATGGTATAATAGGGCGACAGCTTTTGCTAACTCTGTCCACAATAGGGCGACACATAAAAGGCGACATATAACTGTCGCCCTTTTGTGGTTACCACCCTTAGGACAAGGAATTTTATCGTCGCAAACCATCTACATGTAGATCGATTCCTCGCGTGGTACAATTAGTAAATGTACCGAATTTCATGGAAAAAAGGATAAGGCAAACTTGGGTTAGGTGACAGCTTAGGTTCGTACACAATCTATGAGAAAGTCGCCCTATTGTAGCAAAAAGAGTAATTATTATTGATTGTAATTATTAATTGGGAAAGTTATGTTCAACCACATGAGCTATGAAAGGGACTTTTTTTAATACATGTATCCATGTTGTTCAACATGTTGCAGTCCTTAATGTACCGGTACTTGCCAGGCCTGTGTTTCCAAAATTGAATATTCTTAGCCCATTACAATGTCATGTGAGATACTACGTTATTCAAAAGTGAAATTTTTGTTGTTGTTATATGACAAAATGTATGGGTAACATTGATATGTAACCAAAGGCAAAACTGCCGTTCCTCTGGATACAAAAGAATGATTTGTACATTATGGAGACAGCCAGAGAGAATATTCAATCATCTACTGAATAACCGAATAGGGTTTTACCACAATATTTGAAGAAAAAAAGTTTGCCTTCTCGGAAAAATTACGAAAAACGTCGGTGACGTCATTTTATGTTGAGAGGTTTCAGTCCTAGTAAAATGCAACATTTACTTTTGACAGCCACTTTATACGCATGATTTAAGAGCTTCAGTGAGGAAAATTAACCCTATCTTGCATCTTTAACATCTGTCAAATATCTGCTAGCCAGCAAAATACACCGATAGGTATCGATCAATAGTTGACTAGCTGATGTTTGACATTTAGCGGGATGCAAACACTCAAAATAGGAACAAAATTGGGATTTTTGTTAGGCCTATACAATCAAATGTCAAGAATGAGACAGTATGTACCGTATATCTTTAACATCTAAAGGATGTGACCCTTATAAATAATAACAGATTGATGAACATCTTCATCCCTTAAAAAAATTTAAAAGCCATTTTTCCTTGAAATTACAGTTAACTAAATTTTCATGGATCTTTCAACATATTAAGCCAGATTTGGAGTCCGTGAAAACTCCCTTAAGGAAGTCCTTTGTTTACCCATGGAGATAGACCCAGTGTACCGTTATGTATAACCAATGATAATCCTCAGTGGCCAGGGTCATTAAAAAACCGTGAAAATACCCTTACAGGATTAGTCGTATATAAGCCCCATGTAAATGTCCGTGAAACATCTCCAAACGATTCTTTTCACGGAGAAATTGACTTTGAATGAAAATTTAAGGGATCAGATCTTCATAGTCACGCCCAAGGCCAGTGTGCATTGATCTGGACGAGCATATTGATCACAACAGCAAGGTGTAGTTTTGCCTTGCTCCTCTTACTACTGCTGCCAGTCAACATAACTTAATGCTGACAATCAAAACACCTGCTCCCCCATTGCACCAATATCCTTATTCTTGCAAGAATGAGTACGTTATTACTAAGATTTTTTTTAAATTTTCTGGGTTTCAATGCTAAAAAATCTTGTTTGTTGATGCAATTTTGTATCTTTTTATTTCAAACTAAAAATATATCTTTTTATTTAAAACTAAAAATCAAAGATTGGTAAGATGTAATTTTGAGCAGTGACAGTGTGTAAATTTATGTCAATAGACAAATCCGGCGGCAGTCATTTTCTGCGATAGCACCAGGCTCGCGCGAGTCACACTCAGGTAGTACGCATGCACTCTGGGCTCCTTCGACCAATAGGAATACCAAAATGCGTGTGCGCCTCATCTTTAAGAACACACGCAGCATGCATGTGAGCATGACACCACTGCAGTAAAAGCTTCTAATTCTGGTCACCGGATTTCACTATAACCCAAACTACACATCTGTTTATATACAACACAAAATAGGGATCACTATAGCGCCCTCATGCCTACTGGTGGTTTTTGCTTTCCCCGTCACATAGGCCCACTGAGCTGCAAGTCGACATGGTCTTATGTTCACAATAAAACATACGCTCCTCCATTGAACCAATTATCTGGGTCTTCTTTTCTTACCATTTTCTAACGTATCATCTTACGGCCGTTCACCTCACACGGCTTTTGATGTTGAAGTGGTCATAACAATAATTTGGCACACAAAATATGCATCACCGACATGCAATACACGAGGATCCACAAATAGATTCATATTTTACATGCAGGCAATCAGAAATCGAAACTCCGCTCAAAATGCTCCCATAAATTGTAGTGAGCGGATTCCATTGCTCTGTGCAGAGAGATAATTATTTGCATTACTGTTAAGTATTTCCACAAATGAATCCTCAAAAAAACTCTGATTATTTATGGGAATGTGGGTGATTATGGTTGTACCGGTAGGTTACACACATTTCCGAGTCTCTGTTTGAAGTAAACTTAAGCGATAACATATGATGTGAGCTCATTTTTGCAAGAAGGTTAACATATATTCTTGGAAAGGCGGCTATTCTGAAATGCCTATTAAATGTTTTTAAAAGAAAAAAAATGACCAAAAAAACACAAACAAGACAAAATTTCAAATTTGACATGTCAACATATGAAATTTAAAACAAATTTCTCTGTATATATTACATTTTCACGTTATTATCTGAGTACCAAGTGAAAAAAAAAATTTAAGTTCAAAAGTGTGACTTGCTCCTACAACCTTGAAGTAAAAACACAGATACAAACCACTTTAAGAACACATTTTTCTTCTGAAAGTCCTGTAACTTGCCAAATTGTGTAAAATCTTCAAAGATGTACAACAGTGTGACGCTAACGGTGCTAACCCAAAGAAAATATTTTTCTACTCTATTCAAACCAGATTCTCTCCCTTTCTATTGAACCAGTTTCAATAATTCATTTTAATTCAGTTAAAAAAGTGCATGTCCGCTTTCAAATAGAGCACACATTATACAACTTCAACACTAACGTCATGGGCCTATCCAAACAACATTTTTCAATGTGTTCCATCCCCTTCCTTGGGTCAGCAACCTAGGGAACAGTCACAATAATTCAATTTCAGCTATACGGACGGCTACAATTTCCACCACGTTTATTTGTTAAGTTTCCCCATGAGAAGTGTTGCATTGCCAAGCTTGATCGATCTATCCAAAAGGCTTTCAGACATTTTTCGAATTGATATTTTTAGGGACAAATCCACTGCACTATACCTTTAACCCACTCAAAAAAAATTACACCTTAAAAAGGCCTCAAAACACCAAAGTGTGGCAATGATGGAACAAGAGAAATTTCTAAAAGTAGTCAAAGATTTTTTTTTTTTTGAGAAACAACTGCACTTATATTTACTTATAAAATTTTTTTAATTGTTAAACTACAACAGACCCTTCTCTTCAAAGAAACCAGTAAAAAAAAATTCTCTAGTTGATGTAAATTTACAAATTTATTCATCACACCAAATCCAAGGGGAAAAATGGGGAAACATTAATCATTTCAAATTCTGAATGACTCTTCTACCTAAATCCATGACCCCGGCCTTCTGGAAAATATTTCTGCCGAACCTTTCTTGAAAAGTACTCTGATGAGATGTACATGTATGGGGGATCAAGTTACATATCCGATAATGCCCACAGAGACCCAGAGAGATATTGAGAGAATGAGAGAGCACTTACCGATGACTGTAGAGGTGCTGTTCGGGAGGAGGCAATGACTTCTTCAACGGGTGCAACTCCGACTTTGTGCTTGGAGACTTTCTGTTTCTTGGATTTCTTCTTCTGAAACATGACAAAAACATTGAATAATTCAAAGTGTGGCATTTACAATGTATAAGGGAATCTGCAAGACAGCTCTGACCCCAATATACGACGTTGTAAAAAAAAATTTACATTGCATGATCACTTGCATTTGTAATTTAAAGGGAATATACAACATTTGCAAACATCGAAAAATAAAACTACCAAGTTTTTGCGAAATACCTTAATAGGATGTTGGTAAATGACAGTCTAAAGCATCCTGTAAAATTATGGCACCTGGTATACTGTCATTTTCAAGAAAAGTGGTATTTTTGTATCAATTTCCAACGCTGATCGGCCGATCAGCGTTGGAAACAACTGGCTTTTTTTTTCAAATACTGGCCCCAATTGACCATTGCACTTGTTTGCAATCGATTACAAACCTATGAACGGGTACGAGCCAGCTAGAGTCAGGGAACCAGACTACAGGAAAATGATCGTTTTTCTTGGTTTTTATAGCATTTTCGAACCCAAAACCTCCAAAAAGTCAGTGTAACTATATTTGCTTTGTATGTGTTCTTATTCCTCCATGATATTTCCAACCCCCCAATTCCATCCATTTCTGAAAATTACAGCAAAAGCAAATGATGTATATTCCCTTTAAACAACCCTTCAAAACTACCTATGGGCTCCGTGCACCAACTAAAAATGGCTTTTTTTAACCACTTTTGAGAGCCCTGTGGACCGAACACACTGCGTGTGCATACCGATCACGCGTGTAAAGCGCGCAGTACGCACGACTACTTTTATTGTAAAATGTGCAGGAAGCAAAAGCGTGTTCGTCAGGCGTCGTAGGCAATGCGTTCGAACACATCTCCCAGTGGGCTCTCCGGTATCCCAACTCTCCCCGTCTTGCAGGTGAGGGGGTACTTGGGCACGGAGCACATAAAGCTAAAAAGCAAATCAACACTTTTGAAGATTGACCTGGACAAGTGACCACACCCTTGATACAGCCAAACTACTGTAAGGGTGGCCTAACAACATGGGTGTGGCCTCCCTAAGCCAAATGGCCGCACCTCTGTTAGCCACACCTAATACATGTAATTAGATGTGGCCCAACAATCCAATTCAACTAGAAACACCCTGATATGTACAGCTTGTCTAGCCATACTTCTATTGGCCACACTCCCTTAGCTGGCACCAAACCCCTGACACTGCCCACATTCTTATCGGGTGTGGCCTAACCCAGTCAATAAGCCAAATCTTTTGAGAGGTGATGTCCAAACCAGCCAACTAGTCACACCCCTGATACATACATGTATGGCCTAACCAAGTTACATGTATAAACTAGCCAAATTCCTGAAAGGTGCTGCTGACTTAGCAGAATAAAAACACCTGCCAGCTGACGTGACCTGTCTCAGCCATCCAGCTGCATCCTGACAGGTGAAGTGACTCGTCTCAGCCAACTAACTACACCCCAATGGATGATGTGACCTGTCTCAGCCATACAGCCACACCCTGACTGGTGATGTGACCTGTCTCATCCATATTAGCCACACCCTGACAGGCGATGTGACATGTCTCAACCATTTGTGACCCCTCCAGGAAAAGGTGATATAAGTCGCGCTGTGCCTTTATGTGTAATGGCCCGCTGAACGTTGAGAGGGTGAAATTTTCCGTCAAAATCCGAATTACTTTTTTTGTCTCAAATGACATCTTTGATACCTAAAGTTTAAGGATTCATTCACAGAAATGTTGACTTCAATGAACAAAGTGAAAAAAATAACCTTTTTTTGTGTGCATTGTTCTCTTTATTTTACATCAAAAAAATACATTTTTAATCAATATGCAAATTAGCCAAAATCTGGTTTCAAAAAGTCTCTTTTTCCCAAAAATCATTGAAAATAATCATTGTAGAATCAATATCCAAAGTTTAAAAGTGATAGTAAAACAGGAACATGTTGGTTGCTAAGATATTAAAAGTGAGCTTTTCATGCCCAAATCTACAACAACAGAGCCAGCTAATTCACTAAAGCCTGTTTTCTCAGTTGTGTAATTTGAACTCCATGGAACTAATTAATATGCAAATCTGTCATATCGCCAAAACGGGAACGGCTATAGAGCTGTGTCATACACCAAATGAAAGCTTACATTGTGGGCTTTCCAGTCGTGTATATAGCTCCAACAGTATAGCTCCAGCAGTAGCTCCAACAGCGCCCTCTATTCCGCACCTCCTCAATTTTTTTTACCAAAGAGCACCAAGGAATGGGAAATTGCACCAAGGCAAATGATCGAAAGCACCAAGGCAAATTATGGAGGACACCAATGTACATGAGGACACCAAAAAAACAAAATAGTACCCCACCTTGTCTGTACAATCCAAGCTTGAAAAAAAAAAAAAAAAGCCGCGTGGCCGCGTCAATTCCGGAACTTTGGTCTGACCAGAGACCGAATATTTTTTTTTTTTGGCCTAACTTGAATTTTATTTTTTACGACTTGTATCACCTTTTCCTGGGGTGGGTCACATTTAGTCACACCTTGACAGGCAATGTGACCTATCTCAGCCATCTAGCCACACCCTGACAGTGATCTGTCTCAGCCACCTAACCACATCCATTGCAGGTCATGTGACCTGTCTCAGCCATCTAGTCACACCCTAACAGTGACCTGTCTCAACCACCTAACCACATCCCTTACAGGTCATGTGACCTGTCTCAGCCATCTAGCCACACCCTAACAATGATCTGTCTCAGCCACCTAACCACATCCCTTACAGGTCATGTGACCTGTCTCAGCCATCTAGCCACACCCTGACAGTGACCTGTCTCAGCCACCTAACCACATCCCTTACAGGTCATGTGACCTGTCTCAGCCATGTAGCTACACCCTGACAATGATCTGTCTTGACCACCTAACCACATCCCTTACAGGTTGTGTGACCTGTCTCAGCCAACTCACCTTTACAGGGGTGACCCTCCCAAGGCTACCCAGCAAACAAGCCGCACCTTTGAAACAGGTGTGGCCTGACACGTCTGATACCAACTTACACAAGTACAGCCGGCTATCTTAACATCTTCCCCTGCAACTTTAAAACTAAAAAACACACACAAAAAACACACCTCACATGTACATGTATACACTCCCTCAGGCATACATGTATCTTTACTGATCATGCAGACAGAGGGTACAGGATTGTACCACAGCGCCATTTCTCCTGTGATATACATGCGTAAATGCATTTGAAAGTTTCAATTAAACACTGTGGAGCAATACCCGGGGGGAAGTCAACGCAGTAATTAACTCTTGTCGCAAGACTGGTAATTACTGCCCCTAGACAGACACGGACAAGTGCTTCCAAATGTGCTTTCTTTTGATGGCAACTTGCATTTAATTGGCAGTTAATTCAAGCAGTTTAAAAAAGAAAGTGTGGGGTGAAAAACAAGCCGGAAGGCAATCACAGTTGACAGTGATTTCAGGGGGAAAGAAAGCTAGTGCGATCTTCAGACAGTGTGATCTCCTGGGGTGATAAATTTAGATTTGAATGTCTAAAGTCACCATTGCGTAAATTCTGAAGTCACCTTTGCGTAAATTCTGAAGAGAAAGAACTTTCGCTCAAAATAAAGGCCTGTTTGTCTGTGCTCGTCAGTCGAGGAAGTGACGGGGGGATTTGTCTGACTTGCGGTAAACACCAACTTAAAAGGCTTTCTCACCCCTTGGGAGCTGACATTTTATAATTGAGCATTACCTTGGGATATTTCAGCTTATTGGGTCTACAAGCGGGATGCCGTGCTGGTCAGTGCGCCCCCAATTGGCATATTTTTGAGAAGGGGTTCATTATCAAGTCAGGTTTTGACATGTACGTTTTGGAGTGTTTTCACAGAGATAATGTAATATTTGACTATTCAAAGACTCAAGGAAACATGTTGGAGTGTTTTTATAGAGATAATCTTGTAATATTTAACTATTCAAAGTCTCAAAGAAACAAATTTGCCAAAAAACAAAAACAAAACAAATAAATCGTTTTTTCCTGTGCTAACCGTGACTTCAGAAGACAGTGATATTCGGTGCATAAAGGACCTCCATATACTGGATGACCGCATAATCACAGCTTTTAAGCCTTTACCAAAATAAAACACAGACATCAGACAGACACACAGACAGACGGACAGCGTAGGATCTTTTAATATAGGATGAGAAAACATGGCAACTTCTTCATTACTGCAAAGTAAAAGACTGCTGGGACAAAAACATCCAGTGGGGGGGAAAAATAAGACATTTTGCGGGAGCCTTGTGCACCTATTTTTGTATCCAATTAAAACCTTGTAAATGTCAGAAGATGTTCATTTCATTCTATAAATAGAGGTGACTTTTTTCAGTGGGTAAACAATGGTCTGACAATGCTGACCTTTAAGACATGGTCTTTATCAAGCTCTTTTTTTAGAGTTAGAACTGTACTATACTGAAATGTTAGGTGGTGTACTTGGAATCAAGCCTATTAAATGAAGGCTGTTTGACAGAGTACATTGAATGAGTAGAGCTGTTATCGAGTCAACCATGAGTCAAATTACAAGTTAGGTCATACACAAAAAGGGATGAACAATGACGCAAACGTGTATTTGTCACAGCTCATTCAATGTAAAAACATGGTGTTTGTGCCCTTGGGCAAGACACTTAACTACAATTGCCTCTCTCTACCCAGGAGTATAAATGGGTACCCGTGAGGGTCGAAGACCGATTGAGCGCTGATATCGGAGGCCGCGTGGTCTCATTGCTTGATGAATGGGGTAATAATTGTAAAGAACTTAGAGATTGTTAATACCGTACGATGGAAAGTGCTATAATAAGCACTACGATAATTATTATTATTATAATTAAGTGATAATGCATGTATCATATGATATCGGTACATGTATAATAATTACCGGGAACGGGTCATTAGGGAGACATCCCCATAGACTTGAGCAACTTAAAGGTGCCCAAACCCAATATTCCCTTGTCCTTTTTTCTAATTAGACCACAGGCAACAAATATAACCTAATTGCGAAAGTACAATTTTGCCTCTAAAGGGGGCTGTGCCATTAGGGAGACAGTTATGTGTCTCCCTAATGACCGGTGTCTCCCTTGGGGGGGGGGGGGCTGGTACCATCTCCCAACATAGGGGGCGCTCTTCCTAACCAATGATTATATGGTAAACATACATTATGTGACCATTTTCAGGGCGTCTTGTATGGGTTTTGGGACTTGGTTTTCATATTCCTCGTTTATATCAAAAATATCTCTACCATTATTGGGAAATGGTTACTTCTAAGAAATAGTAATATACTTTAAGGGAATTTTTGATTTATATCGAGGGAACACTTTAATGCTCGAGGGGGCACATTTATGGCCGCAAAAGGGGCACTTGGGAAAATCTGGGGGGCAAACGCCCCCCCAGCCCCCCCCCCCCCCCCCCCCCCCCGGTTCCGCTTCCCCTGCTTGAGACTGGATGACTTATGATTGCCTCGCGAGGACTTGTGGTGTCTCTTGACCGACTCAAAATCCAACTCTGGGATAAGCTATCGGTAGGCAACCAGCCTCATGAGAAATTTACAAATATTTGCAACACGACTCAAACTTGAACCCAAGTGTATTTTTTTTTCTATTTCTCTGTCTTTGATCAGCAGGTCAAAATACTCAGATTCGCACCCATCATCCCAAGACCAAGAACTCAAAATGCCCCTCCCCAGAAAAACAGCACCCCCCCCCAAAAAAAATAAAACAATTTAAGAGGTAATTTAACACCGATGTACTGTTATGCTCAATGTACATAAATGCCAATTTAAAAAATATATATCAATAAATAAAAACACAACAAAATTGAGACAAGTTTGGACATGAAAACAGGTTTTGCAACATGTGAGCTGTCTTAAATTACCCCAGTAGTGTAATTTTTTTTCATTTTAACTGAAAATTCTTTGTTGATGTGCACAAGGGAATGATGGTTGACAGCAAGAACATGTCTCCACAAGTTTCGGGCCTTGAACAAATATTACGGTTCAATCCTCTGATGTTTGTTTTTAGTGTTTGGAGAAGAAAATGAGTGTACTATGGGTTTTCTATATGACCTATGGGGTCGCTAATGGAAGAGCAGGTAAAATGTCAACTTGTTCAAATACGTCAATCAGCCATGGATTTATTACGTTATCGGTAAATTATGTTGACTTTAGGGACACAATTGCTGGTCCCGCTTCCTCCAAAATGTGATATTTCGTCAAAATCAAACGGGGGGATAAACTCAGGAGAATAAAAGCAAGAAACCAAGAATCCAATCTAATGTATATTAGATTAAATACTATATATTTTTAATTAGCATTTTTTGACCAAAAGAGAAACAAAATACTTGGCACTTTCGAAGTGATTTTTGGGGGGTTTTATTGGTTGTTTTTATTTTTTGTTTTTGTGTGTAGTTTTTGTTTTGTCTGTTTGTCGTTTTTTTCGGGGGGGGGGGGGGGGTTGAGCTTATTGCTCAGCAAATTTTTTCTGTGCTTAACAACTCCAGGATGTTGATTCGGTAGTTTTGTAATGCTTACCTTATTTGGTATTTCCGTCGACGGCAGTCCGTCCGTTTTCCAACGACCGCTCCGAGACCTCTTGATGTTCCTTCAAAACCAAACAGCAAAATTCAATTTTTGACAAGCCTTTTTAAAATCAGGAATTGAAGTTTTAAACCCAGGAACAGAGTATGCTCAATACAAATTAATATCTTGAGCCTTTGCTTTGTTATACCGAACATTGGGCTATACCGAACATCGTCCTTGGCTCCCGACTTTTGTGTACAAAACCAACCAAACATTATTGTTGAAAACTGTCAACAGAAGAGCGACAAGTGGCTATCATATCCCCAAGGCATAGAAGCCACCCATCGATGTAGGTAGTAAGCTCAAAACTGTGTAATTACATAATTCAACAGTCAGCACGTGTTCAAAGTCGTCTTTCAGTAACTACCAGGGCATGCAGAGTGGAGTTATGAAGGGGCCATTTATTGAAAAGTGAGTACTGGAGCACCAGCAGCTTAAAATCGCTATACCAAACGATCGCTATTACAAACATTTTCTGTGGATCCCGCGATGATCGTTATAGCGGCGTTCCACTGTGTATGTTAACAGCTGACGTCATGGTATTTTTTGGTGAGACTATTTCAACTTTTTCAGAAAGTTTTCTTTTCAGAAGCACATGTTCAGATTACCTTGAAGTAGGATTGGCATCTTCTTTGACAGCATCTTGTTCCAGGCGTTTCTTTTTCTGAAAGAAAAAGCCAAACTCAACATGAAATTTTTTTGATTTCAAGATCACCTCTTGAAGATGTACCTTCTCTTATCCTCATTAAGGATAAAGGATTTTTGCAAGAGGAAGGCATTTCACATCCACTGTTGACCCAATTTTCTTGACATCATCATTGGCTTAGTCTTGGGTACATGTATATGGCTCATAAGGCTTGCGTTTATCTCCAGTTTCCTTGGCATAAAACAGCTGAGAATGCTGCTGTTCCCCTTGGATGGGACGCCAGTCCATCGCAGGTTACTCCCCAGCTAATGCCGGTATCCATTTATACTCCTGGGTGGACAGAGGCAAGCGGAGTGGTAAAGTGGCTTGCCCAGGGACACAACATATGGCCAGCTATAGGAATCAAACCATTATACTACTTGGTTAATGTAATGGTCTCCGTGCGCGAACAAGAGGGCGCCTGTTTACCACTTTTGAGAGCCCTGTGGACGGGACTAACAGCGGGTGTGTTATGTACTGCACTGGTTCGCGTGCAAAGTACGCATGACTTCCTGAATGTGCCTAAAGCTAGTAGCCACAGCGTCTTCGCGTGAGCATCAGGTGTCGTCGGCGCGCGAATACATTCGAATTTATCTTGCAATGGTCTCCCAGACTAATCCCCGCCCCCAATAACTTTGGATCATTCGAAATACGCAGTGGATTAACCGGGAACCAGTCTAGGTCCCCCCAACTCTCCTTTTTTGGCCGTTGAAGGGGTACTTGTGCACGGATCCCATAGCGACTATGAAGGGCCAATTCTGAAACGGGTGTCACATTAAGAGGTTTTGTGGTCGTACCCTTTTGTCTCTGTCTTCCTTTTCATGTAGCTCTTTGCTGAGTTGGTCCTGTAGCTTCTTCTCTTTTCGCAGTGACCTTCTCTTGTCTCTCTCTAGAGACTTCTGTTTCATCTTCTCATAGTCTGAGCTGAGCTGATACGGCCCACCTCTCTCGAGGTCTCCGTACCACGCCTGACAAACAAACAAAAACAGATAAACTTCAATAAAAACAAACAAGCAAACAAGCATTAGATGATTATATACTCAGATGATTATATATAGAGCATGAAAAAAAACGGCAAAATTTCATTCTTGTCACCTGATTGTTCTCCATAAACAGGTACCCGAAGTGCTGGAATGCACCCTTTGCCACAAAGGTCCAACCCAATGTTCTTTGACTGACTGAGTGAATGAGTCACTGAGTATGTCATGTCCCAAACTGAGACGTTTAAAGGGAATGTACAACATGTGCTTTTGCTGCAATTTTCAGAAATAAATGGATTTGGAGGATTAGTATGTTAAAGCAAATACTGTTAAACTGACTTGTTTCACGTTTTGGGCTTGTTTATGCTGGAAAAACCAAGAAAACTACATTTTCTTGTAGTCTGGTTCCCCGACCCCACTTAAGATGAAATGGAGAAATGTAAAGACTTTGGGGAATTGTCAGGTCAAAGAATCACTCTAGCAGGTTTGTACCCCTTCACAGGTGTGTAATCTATTGCAAAGAAAATGTGGAATAACTAAATATGAAGAAATAGGAGCAGTTTTTGAAAAAAGCCAGTTTTTTTCCAACGCTGGCCGGCCGACCAGCGTTGGAGAATTACAGTTTTTCTTAAAAATGTCAGCACACCAGAAGCCACGATTTTACAGGATGCTTTAGACAGTCAATCCCTAACAATTCAGTGAGGTATTGCGTGATAATTTGATCATTTCGTTTTTTGATGTTTGCAAATTAATGTATCTTCCCTTTAGGTTGAGCTTTAATACTGGGCCTTGTGCAGAAATGGACAATTGGGCCCCACTGCCCCTCAACGCTGACAATGTGATTAACCCTTTGGTGCTCAGCGCGGTCGCTAGCAACCTCCCTGTGCACCAAAGGATTAAGATTGTGGATATTGATGGACCACTGTGCGCCTCATGTACACTGCTACATGCAGAAAGCAGGCAGTGACCAGTGCAAGTGAACCGTCACTACTAGGTTTTCCCCTTCACTATTAAACGTACACCTGGCACAAAAAAAAACCAAGCAGTTTTCATAATCATCCTTGTTTGATGAGTACGAGGTTGGTGGTAACACCATGTGAATGATATCTCTTTGTGAGTTGTGTGGTTCTGAGAAGAACCAGTTGGTTTGACTCGACGTTTCGAACAGCAATGCTCTGTTCGTCATTAGGAGATTGATGACGAGCAGAGCATACTGTTGGAAACGTCGAGTTACAAACCAACTGGTTCTTCTCAGAACCACACAACTCACAAAGAGAGATATATCATTCACTTGGGTGTCATCACAAACCTCCTATTCATTGATCAGTAATAATCATACTTGTTTGGAATTTCTCGGTGAACAAAAAATCTGAAATATACATTTTGTCATGGAAACTTTCCGGTTCAATTTGATACCTCACTTGGGAACACTGTGTAAGAAATTACGTGCAACATGCAAACTTCAAAATCAACATAGATTGAGTTTAATAAAATGTACCTGTGGGATAATCGGGCCCACTGGTTCACTGTCACTATCATACTCGGCTACCAGCGGCCTCGACTTCAGCGGAGGCAGTCCGGCGTGCGTGTCGGGGTAGACGGAATTCCGGAACCGGACTGGAGGCGGTTTGGGTAACTGCCTCCCGCCTTTTGGCATGGTTGGCACGTGACTAAACAGTGGCTCTTCCTGGAATAAAAAAAAGTTAAAATAAAAATAAGGTCATTTTTATTCACATCATTAGATATCTGCACTAGTAAGCTGGCGGTCATGGGTTTGAACCCTTACCAAGCAAGATTGCGACTTTAGCTCCTGGACAGCACTGATTGTACAGTGCCTTTACGATTACAAATAGTGAAGGCAAAACCAAACATCTTCCGTGGGTTTATTAACCACTTCGCGCCGGGATTATTTTTGCCAAAAATTTTGACTTTTGCAACAGGCAATATTTTCCAGCCAACTTCTGATACACAGCCAAACGCCATAAATAGTGATTCGCAAGAGTCATTTCAACATTATTTGTACGATATTTCTTGCCGAAACCTCGTATGTTTCAATACTCCGGGGTGTGCACTGGAGCGTAAATTGTACAAAACAATAGGCCAATTCAAGATTAACACACGGTCCGCATCCACAGACTTCACGGACTTGGTGTGTGTGTACAAAAGGCACGAGCAATTACACATAGCGTGTTTGGACATCACCCAGAGGCGAGTTGAGGCAATCTTGATGTTTAAACCCTTCAGCCGTGCCTGTGTATAAAAACAGTCAATGCGTGTTTTCACGTCCTCCGACGCGAACTGGTTAAGTTGAGAGGTGTTTAATTAAGATTCAAAATACCTGAGATAGTTTACCCATTCCTATTGGTCGAGAGCCCGTCATGTAGGTTGTTTTAAACGGTTGATAAAACACCGACTGGTTTTAAACACTTTTTCCGGCACCGCTGCGTTCTGCGCCACATTGCGCAGTACATGTACGTTTCACGTGTGCGCCAATCTCCATATATAAGAATATTGTTAGTATACTCACAAGAGGCACATACCATAAACATAACTAGAGGGGAGTTTCACAAAACATGAAGTAAAATTGATCGACAAAATCGTATGAGCCGCACTGTGCATAAGCCGCAGTAAACATTTTCATGGGCAAAACCAACGTATAAGCCGCGGCTTATATTCCCGAAAATTACGGTACTTGTTTAATATCCCAGCCAAGCACATATTTATTCTCTTAGCCCAATTTCACGAATGAATGAAAGCTTTTGGGATATGGTTTTGCATTTTTTCACCACTGATGTGTTGCTGTATCCCATAGCCATAATGCCCGACTCTCAAAATCCAATACCGAACAAGCCTAATGTGGCCCTGTGACAGACTTGACTGAAAACACTGTTGTGAGTGAGAAGCAGTGAGAAATCTGGGGAACGTCTAGCCATGGCCGTAGCCAGGATTTTTTTCTAGAGGGTGGCAAAGAACATTATTTCCCGAAATCCTTGTACTTTCTCTAGCATGTTCTCCAGTTATCAATTTTTCGCTGGTGGGCGGGGGGACATAAGCCCACTGCACCCCCAGTAACACCCCCGCGGATGCCCATGTTGTTAAATGTGTATTAAATTAACAGCAATATGACTTCGCCCCTCATTCTTTTTTGTTGTTGCTTTTCCTGTCAGAGGGGGAGGGGGCAAGCCCCCCCCCCCCTCCCTTGCGACGCCCATGCCTCTAGCCTCAATATTCTGACCTGCTCCGACATGGATCCTTCCGATGCATTACTATCACTATCTTGGTCTTCTCTCTTTGCATCTTTTCTCTTGGACGTGGGCGCTCTTCTCTGTACCCTGCGGATGAAACAGGTTGAAAATTAATTACAGTTGCATTACTGTCCTCTGCAAAGTTGAAGAAGTACTTTTCGAAATGGTACATATCTCTGAATAAATATTACTTGCTTTTGGCAATGTGAATATAGATAGCAGTTTCCAACCACAGCGTGCAGGTACTGGCTCATGTACATGCATGAGGGGTACAAAACACAAAAGAACAATAGACCCATCTACCCCATAAGAGAACGTCATGGAGTTTCAGATTTCAATAAGAACAAAGGAAAACAAACGAAGGGAAACAAAGGTCTTCCCCACATGTATATGTGAGTATGTAAACACCGGCAATCGTGGACTAGGGACAAAAGGGTTGGGGCACAAACAAAGGGTCCACGATTGACCGATAGTCCACGATTGAAATTCGTGTAAAAAACCAATGAGAGCTAATGCTAAAAAGTTAGAGTACAAACAAAGGAATGAGGATTAAGGACAATAGGGGGTCCACGATTGCCGGTGTTTACAAAGATGTGCGTGTAAGCTGTAAGTTTGCGCGGGTATGGCATGAAGTACACATGAACAATTAAACTCTGAATGTGCTATAGCATCTGCATGAGCGTCAGGCATTATCTTCAAGTAAACTTGAATCCTCGATCCTGATTGGTCGATCCATGGCAACAAGCCGTGCTACATATAACCATGTAGCACGGCCTCGGTCCATACCGCACTCCTTGTATTGTGCTTTTCTAAGATGTGAGCGCCATTCCGTACAACACGCTCGTGTAATATGATAGACGCTGAAAAGTTTGTGTACAGCGTGTGTGTTCCATCTTTACTGTGCATCAAGTTTGCTTGAAGATGAATTCGTTATCAGGCTCGTGTTCGTGGGACACAGAAAATATAGTGCGTCTGTGTCCCACATACCACTCGGCCGGACACAGACGCACTACATTATTCCGTGTTCCACTCGCGCTCGCGGGATAACTTATATTGTTGCCAATACTTGCGAATGTTTCTCCCAGTGGTCTCCCCACCACCCCCCAACCTCTCCCTTCGTAACCATTGAGGGGGTACTTGTGCGCGGACCCGATATGCAAAGTTTCTGAGCACATTCCATTGGAAATTTGTCATGTTCATCTTGTCTGTTATTGGTGTGCACGCACATCAGTATCAAGAAAGTAGGCTGAAGAGCACCCTCTATAGTTTATGCACAGAGCAGATGACAAAAAAAATGGCATTGTTGGCCATGGCTATGGCTATGGCTATTCACAGTACTTGGTCAATAGAAGAAACTGAACCTGTAGCCATGATATGCCAAATTTGGACAACACTAAACTTACTGTACGGCTCCGTTTTCTCTTCGTCTGTCCGGGACGGTCCCATTGGCCGTGTTCTTGACGGGCAGACGCTTGTCCAGCGAGGTTTCCTCGACGATGACCTCCCCCTTCGCTAGGTCCTCTCGCAGCCGGCCAAACTCTGAGGAAGTGCCTGTGGCTCTTTCCATCGTATTCTGCAAAGGTCAAGGGTCACAGAATCATGAAATCACTCGAGGAGGCCCATTTACAGATGGTGGGGCTTCGTTTGAGAAAAGTACAAACGTAAAGTCTGTCACAAGCCAATGTGGCCCATTATAATTAGGCCGGCATTTATCTCCGGTTTCAGCAGCATGAAACAACTGAGAATATTTCTATTCCCCCTACTGTCACGTTGGGAGATATACCGACCAAATTCCGTGTATACGTCTTTGCTTGATTCGTATGTGCCCACAGCGGCCTAACGAAGATTGGACTATTTTGTCGGCAGACAAGGCCACTTCTACATGGTGGCCTTTGGGATTTACACTCTTGATATCAGTGCATCAGATTTTCATGGTCCTTTTCACTCTGACATTCAGTTGACTGTGTAAATCCCATCCCATTGGAATGGCTGAAAAACCCATAGCCTTTTATAATCTGTTAGTTCTATGGTTTGCATGAACGGATTTTCATGGCATTTTCACTGATTATACACAATGAGTTTAATCAATATGCTCCATCAAATTGAAAACTGCATGTTAAGTAGTTTTTGAGAAATTACAGCATATCTGCTTGGACAAATTTTTTTAGGGCACCCTGTATGCCAAGTTTTTTTCTCCCATGCCAAGCACCCGGCCCCCCCCCCCAAAAAAAAATCTTCAAACTATAGAGACTGAAGCAGAAGCTTGTGACAACGCATAGGTTTCTGAAACACAATTAAAAAATCCCAACCCGTACAGCCATGCATACAACGCACCAGCTGGCGACAACGCATAGGTTTCTGAAACTTAATTAAAAATCCCAACTCGTACAGCCATGCATACAACTCACCATTTCAATGACTTTGGACCTGGCAGCCTTGCGCTGGCACAGGCAGATCCAGTAGATGATGAAGATGATTGCAATAATAGCCAGAATGCCACTCAGAACGGAGACTATGATAATCCAGAGAGTATAGTCTTGACCAGTTGAGAACAGGACCACACCTGGCTCTTGTACCTATTAAAAAAAACAAACATTTACACCTCATGCATATTTATTCCAGGGCCCCCAGGGAGAACAGTTCAGTGAAAATTGATGGGGCTACCCTGGTAAAATAACACGAAATATAAAATAAATAAATAAATGAGCAAAATGCGCTGCTTCCATTGATCCATCTTCTAACGCATCAGGAAAGTAAAAGTTGTTTTTGTAAAATGCATGACAAACGTATTATTGCCAAACTGGACAGTAGTAATGGGCTTTAGTGGCCTGACATTAACTATAACCGAAAGTACCCATAATCAGAAGTGACCTTAATTTCACCGAATAAAACGGTTTTAATTAAATTTTTGTGTAAGCACACAAGTATACGGATTAATTTCCGGTAAAACCTTTCAAACCGTTTTTCTCCGTTCTGTATTGCCGCATCATGTTTGGGTGTCAGTTCGTGGAAACGAAAATCTTCCTATTTTGCGTCAGTATCTGATCTGAGCGCGCACTACCGGGTGTCAGTTCGTGAAACCAAAATTGTTGATAACATAGTTTTCACAAACTGACACCCACTTGCGCATGTCAGTTCCTGGTGCCTATAACAAATTAAACGGAAGTTGATGAGGTCATCAATGCGAAATATTTTCAATATGTTGTAAATTGTAATGATTTTTTTTTCCTTTTAGTGTGTCTATCTATTGCCCTTGACTTGATAATCAATGAAAAAAATGGGATGTCACACACTCTGTATATCCTATACATGGTGCCTGGATGTCCGGTATCCGGTTCGTAAGTGTGACATCATGTCCACTACACCACACCCACTGCATACGGAGTAGCATTGGAACCAATGGAACCGGAAGTCAGGCATGAAAATGAATTTCAATGGAAAAAACAGGAAAATTGTGCAAAAACATGAAAAAAACAAAAATGTGAAATCAGGCAAAAAAGCCCCAAAACAGGCTCAAGATATATAAAAATGCGGAAATTTGGGCAACCAAAAGTCAGGAATTCCTGTATAACACGGAAGATTCTCATGCCTGCCGGAAGTAGTACAAAGTGGCCTGTTTAGCTTATGACTGCTACTAATCAGTGGTGCCTACACGTGTATGACACAGTCATTGATCTCCATTGTGATCTCCATTGTGTCCGCGTTTTCCGAATCTTTACTGCGCGCAAGTATACGCGTGTCCTATCCAGTCTTACTGGAGATCAATGGACGCAGTCACTTATGAACCGGATTCCCGTGAAATCTTTTTGAGGTCAATTTGCACGCTCTGCTTGGCCTTGAGTCATTACCTCAAATCCCAGAGTCAGCGAGAGTCGTTGTAAGGTGAACTTTTCGAAGACTGCCAGAGCCTGGGGCCCCGGTATGACTTTGTCCTTGTTGATGACATAGAACGTGAAAGTCACGTCCTGCCCTGACCTCAAAACTTGATATTCCTGCAAAAAAGCCGAAGAAATACAATGTTACAACTGACAATCGAATATACCTGTCATCTGGACCAAGAGTAATGTTTTTTTAGCACAGGGTGAGTCACAAAAAGCGGAACCCAAACCTCAAAAAATGTATTTCATATTTAAAAAAATATGTAGCACCAGTAATAATATTGTCTGGAAAGCCAAATTCATAAACTACTTTTAGATGAAAAATTACATAAATGGGAGACTTTAAGACGTTGGTGGCAGCAAACACATCGGTCCTTTCAATTGTTTAAGTCATGTTTAAGCTAAAGCGCACATGCTCAACATGACGCTAACAATGGAAAAAGACCGGTGTGTTTGCTGCCACCAACGTCTCAAAAGTCTCCTGTTGCTCAATCCGTTCAAATTATATCAACATTCAAACACAATGACCCTAAAACCTCTTTCATCCAAAAATGTGATTTCAAGAATCATCGTCACAATTGTCTTCAAACATTACCAACGATAAAACCTCAGTTTAAAAGTTAAAAATATTCAACAAAGTTCTTTCAGTGAAGGCCCGTCTTTTGGGGAAAAAAAGTAGATTTTATAAATCATGTCATTTGCCTAAGCAGGTTTGTAAATAAAGACATTGCGTACTACAGTTGGTGACAGTTGTTGAAACAAGTATTCTGTGTCATTTTCTTTGTTGTTCAAAGCAGTCAGGACACAATCAATTGCTTTTTTTTTGGACGAAACAGGTTTTAGGGTCATTGTGTCTAAATGGTGATATTCTTTGAACGGATTGAGCAGTTTCAGTATTATTATTATTTAACATTATTTATGGAGCTACTTTTTTTTAAATATGAAATATATGGCTTCTGACTATCGCCCCTTGAACAAAGACACTGACTAGGGGGGAACCCCCAAAATAGGGCTCAGTTGCATTGGTGGAGCACTGGAACAGTACTACCCTGAGGTCGCAGGTTCAAATGCCGCTCCAGTCAATTTCAACTTTTCAACTTCAACTTTTATAAATTATTATTTATAATAGGTGCATTACCACGACATCTATGACGTTTCCTGGGTCTGTGGACTGGCGTCTATGACGGCTGTGGTCTACCGCAGTTGTTTTCCATGCCCCGAGGCGCCGAGCAAATCTCCTTCTCTCAAGACTTGGGTTGCTGTCTCTTTTGATTGCATGTACATCAACACGGGCAGAACCTGCATTTCACACCAAGGAAGACCATAGGATAGAATAGATGAAAACTTAATTGTCCACATTTCTTGTTCTTGCATAAACTGATTTCTAAAGCTGGTGTGGAGTGCTGTGGCCTCGTGGTTAAGGGCACTGATTTGTGGTCTGTGGGTAAAGCTGCAGGTTGTGGGTTCGAGTCCTGGCGGGGTCATGGTGCGTGTGCCCTTGGGCAAGGCACTTCGTCACTCATTGCTTCTCCCCACCCAGGAGTAAATGGGTACCTATGAGGGCAGTGATGGTTATTGTGATTGAATTAACTTCCTTGCGCCCAACAGGCAGCATCGAGCTGTATACTCCCCAGGGAGCTGAGATGGTATATGGAATGTTTAATTGGCCCAATGATTAGGGGTAATAATAATGTAAAGCGCTTTGATCTTAGTCAAAAGCGCTATATAAGAACCTGTTATTATTATTATTTAGCTTATTGCTATCGTATATTGTTCGTGGTACATACTGCAATAGTAAACTGTTTGCGTGGAATGGTGTTACATTGTTTAAAGCCCGATTTATGTTTCGCGTTGGTGCTGGGACGGGCGGGGTTCGTGACGTCAGCGATGCGTTCACAGCGCATTGTTGGCGACATGGAGTTCGCTTCCCACTAGCTTCCGCGTGGGTTATGAACCGGGCTTAAATCTTTTTAAGTATACACTTCATTGTATTTTTATCCTGCATCTTAACTTTTTATAGAAAGCACCTTGGAGCATGATTTTCTTTATGGAATGGCGCTATATAAATTTTAACTTATTATTATTATTATTTATGAAATTTTGCAAAAATTTTACTTTTCGCTGGTATAACAACCAGTGTCGTCGTTGAGGAATTGTGACAGATCGAACTGTACATGTACATCAGAAGTCTGGTTACAAGTAAATCAAAGCTAAATAAGTCCAGTTACTAGTTACAGTTAATGAATAATGACTACAGAAAGCCTTTGTCACAGTTCATTTGAAAAGCTTGTGAGTTCGATGGACTTGCGGATGACTTGTGATGGACTTGTGGTGGACTTTATTTGCACCTGTACTACATTGTATTACATTGTGTTTATTCACTGAAGAATCAATAAAACCATAGAATGCTCGGGCAGTATCAGGTGCTACAGTAATAGGCAGGGCGGTTTCAGGCGCTACAGTGACTAGAGGGTTAAGATGTGTCTTCGTGTGCAAGAACAGCAAATAGCAAGCAACGTATGATGCCAGACCACAACTGTTGACTTATCCGGTGCAATAACAGTAACCATCTCATGCAAATTTAAAAACTCTACAAGAGTACCGAAGCGAATACATCACACGCACAAAATGTGTGTAAAAGACATTTGCGCGCAAATTCAGCCAGTGAACAAACAACCGCGCGTACTCCATTCGTTTGCACTACACTTTCTGGTTCTAAATGACGTCACACTTCGGTACTCAATATTTTTCTACAATTTTTTCCAGATAATTTTAGAGACGGTTCCAAAGGTTTTCCACTTTGCCTTCACCTTTTTCGGCAGCACTTCTCCTCCTACGCCGGCTGCTTCCCTCCAAGTACAACGCCTCCAGTCGATTCCTGATGTCTGTCTTGAATGTGGGCTTGCTGTACTCAGCATATGATACGACCAAGACCACTTCGAGCATGTCCTCAGCTTGGGCATTGGGGACGACGTAAGGGTGGTCCGGCGTCGGTGTGGCGGGGACCGGGGGAACCACGGGTTCCGGCAATGTGGTGACCTGGTATACAGATATGCAGGGAATGGACAAATATCTTCCATCCTCTGGTACACAATTCTAACACTCACATGCAAGTATAAAGTGAAACGCCACTATAACGAACACCGCTATAACAAACATTTTGATATAACGAACATCCCCGATGGCTCCCGAAATAGTAAATTCTATTATAATGCACAATCACTATAACAATCAACCATTATAAGGAACATTTTTTTATGGACCCCATCGTGTTCGTTATAATGGCGTTCTACAGTACTACATGTAGTACTAAATTGTTCAGTACATGTTTAATTTGGGCGTAATTGCGTAAATACTAGGGAGCAACTGTTTGCATGACTGTAAAAATGTTTACTGCATTTCTTTAGTTTCCTGAACGATTCATAACATTAACCTCTGAACAAGTTCGGGATTCAAGACACAGAGGGAAGCTACCAAAACGCAGATGGGCGCAAAACGCAGCTGGGCTGGTGTAGTGTGAATATCGGACTATGAAATAATGATTCACTGGTAGTATTGCGCATGCATACGTGGCGAATTTGAACGTTCAACCATTGAAACGTAAAAGGCACCGGATTTTATGAGAGTCCAAATTTCATGCGACACTGGAAAAGTGTTTAAGACCAGCTAGCCATGTCTTTATCATCCTTTTAAGACCGGCCACGTGACGGGCTCTCAACCAATAGAAATGGGTAATCGGTCTTAGGTATTTATGAATGGAATTCATGATCAATAACTAGGCCATGACGGAAACGATTCCCAGAGTCTTGTTGTGCCGTTTATGGACTAGGAACATGTGATGAAACCGGGGCAGGTTTTACCGTCATACACGAGTTATAATCAAAATTACAAAACTGGCAGGAATTTTTTTAGTAATAGTGAGGATTCGTAGGCATACGCTATGCATAAACACTCTCGACCATTCTGTTGTTTGAATGTTTTGCATCATCTACGCATATTATGCTTAGATAATATCATTTTAAACCAGTTAACCAAAATGGCAGCCTCTGGTGGTAAGGCTCGTTTCTGCAGTTAATCCTTGTTTAGCAATTCACCCTCTTTCAATCAAACGATAGATGATTAACCACTTCGCGCCAGGATTATTTTTGCCAAGCATTGCGATTTTCGCAAAAGGCAACATTTTCAAGCCAACTTCTGATATACAGGCAAATGCAACAAATACGGATTCGCAAGAGTCATTTCAACAGTATTTGTAAGATATTTCTTGCCGAAACTCTTGAGGTGTGTACTGTAGAATAGGCCCTGCACAGCCACCAATTCAAGATCAATACATGGTCCGCCCTCACAGACTTCACAGACTTTGTGTGTGTGTGTGTGTGTACAAAAGACACGAGGATTAGCAGGTTTAGACATCACCCGGAGGCAAGTCGAGGATACCTTGACGTTTTAACCGATCAGACGTGAATGTGCAAAGAACAGCCAGTGCGTGTTATCAAGTCCTCCCACGCAAACTGGTTAAAAGAGGGCAAACATTGAGAATAATTACTTTGAATTTCACACTGATGTATAGTGCGTAATATACCGTACAATGTACCGGTATATTAGTGCCGTGTACATGTATAACTACGTAACCGTATCCATTAGCCTGCAAACCTCTTTATTCCTGGCTCCAAGAGCCAGCTACCGCACATCACTCATATAACTCACCTCAACACCCAGCTCAGCACTCATCGCTGCCGGAGTGAGTGTCGAGAAGACTTCGCTCGCCGCAGTTGGCTCCTCAACGGTTCCGTTCTCAGACACATAGAACTCAACGTCGACATTTGCAGGATTTGATGCAGACCTCTGAATGTATCTTATCTGATGCAACAAGAAAAAACAGGTCAGGTATTCAAAACAGTGGGCATTCAACTCAACCAAAAAAAAGGACTCTAATACAGCAAAGGTGATACAAATGTTAAGCTTTTCTGAGATATGGCAGACACGGGGCGGTATCATAATTGCGACGCCTCATCATAGGTCCGACGCCTCATAAGTCAGAAATTTCAGACTTATGAAGCGTCGGACTTAATGAGGCATACATTCCGCTTCATAGGTCCGACGCCTCATAAGTCTGACGCCTCATAAGTCCGACAATGGACAAACGCTGTTTCGGACTTATGAGGCGTCGGAGCTATGAGGCGCCGGACTTATGCGGCGTCGGACCTACGAGGCGGAATAAATAAATTTGATGGCTCACAAGTCCGATGCCTCATAAGTCTGACGCCTCACAAGTCCAAAATTCTGGACTTATGAGGCGTCGGACCTATGAGGCGTCGCACTTATGAGCAGAACCCTGCAGACACAGAAGAATGGCATTACTTGGCTAATGGTCCTAATTATTGAGGCATAGATTTCTTATGTGGTGATTTTAATTGGCACAGATGAGTATGTGCTGTCCTTGCCTCATATGAACTTAAAGATGGCTAGAATTTTTTCTGGAAGAGTTGGTAGTGTTGTATATTGCAGATGCAGCTTATGCCAGTAAGGCAATGATCGTACAAGCTTATGCCATCTGATTGGAAAGCTTTTTAGACAAATTAGAGTATGGGAAATACTTACAACAACGTCAACAGATTCCGTTGCTCTTCGATGTCTCCCAGAACGTATGTACTCTGCGTTCTCCAGTTCTCCGATTTCGTCTGCCAAACTTAAGGACCTTCGCTTTCGGTTGACGTTTTGTTTGCCATCCAGATAAAGTTTCTCCAGGCCGTTTTCCATTTTGGAGATAAAATCCTTGTCATTCACATCTTGGTTTTCATCAGGTACTAAGATCTCCATGCGGAGGGTCTTGTCGGCAGAGACAGGTGGTCGTGAAGCTGTAACAGCATCAGTCAAACCTGCTGTAGTTCCATCAACTTGTGTTGTTGCAGTTTCAGTGGTTGTTGCATCAGTTGTCAATCCTGCTGTAGTTCCATCAACTTGTGTTGTTGCAGCTTTAATGGTTGTGACATCAACCGTTGGTGTTCTTATAGCAGTTGTCAATCCTGCTGTAGTAGCATCTGCTTGTGTTGTGACAACTTCTGTAGTTGTGACACCATCTGTTAAAGGTCCTACGTCAGTTGTCAATCTTGCTGTAGTTCCATCAACCTGTGTTGTTGCAGCTTCTGAGGTTGTCACATCAACTGTTAGAGAAGTTGTCAATCCCGCTGTAGTAGCATCTGCTTGTGTTGTGACAACTTCTCTGGTTGTGACATCATCTGTTGTAGGTCCGACGATGGTTGTCAATCTTGCTGTAGTTCCATCAACTTGTGTTGTTGCAGCCTTAATGGTTGTGACATCAACCGTTGGTGTTCTTATAGCAGTTGTCAATCCTGCTGTAGTAGCATCTGCTTCTCTGGTTGTGACATCATCTGTTGTAGGTCCGACGACGGTTGTCAATCTTGCTGTAGTTCCATCAACCTGTGTTGTTGCAGCTTCTGAGGTTGTCAAGTCAACTGTTAGTGTTCCAACAGAAGTTGTCAATCCTGCTCTTGTTGTATCTTCTTGTGTTGTACCAATTTCCCTGGTTGTGATATCATCTGTTTTTGGTCCTGTAACACTTGTCAACCCTGCTGTTGTTCCATCAATTTGTGTTGTCACTGTTTGTGTTGCCACAGTAGTTATGAGTCCTGTTGTAGTTTCATCAAGACCAGTTGCTGTTCCAACTTCTGCGGTCGTTATTTGACCTGTTGGTGTTCCTAGAGTAGTCATCATCAGTCCTACTGTAGTCAATGTTCCATCTTCTGCAGTTGTTACGTCGCCTGTTTGCGTTCCTGCAGTAGTTATCTGTCCTGCTGTAGTTCCATAAACTGGAGTTGCTGTTCCATCTCCTGCAGTCGTTATGTCATCTGTTTGTGTTACCACAGTAGTTATCTGCCCTGCTGTAGACCCATCAATGATAGTTGCTGTTCCTTCTTCTTCAGTTGTTATGTCACCTGTTTGTGTTCCTACAGTAGTAAACAGTCCTACTGTAGTCTCATCAACTGGAGTTGCTGTTCCATCTCCTGCGGTCGTTATGTCACCTGTTTGTGTTCCTACAGTAGTTATCTGTCCTGCTGTAGTTCCATCAAGTGCAGTTGTTATTCCATCTTCAGTAGTTGTTATGTCACCTGTTTGTGTTCCTAAAGTAGTTTTCAGTCCTTCGGTAGTCCCATCAACTGAAGTTGCTGTTCCATCTTCTACAGTTGTTATGTCACCTGTTTGTGTTCCTGTAGTAGTTACCTCTCCTGCTGTAGTTCCATAAACTGGACTTGCTGTTCCCTCTTCTGCAGTAGTAATGTCACCTGTTTGTGTTCCTGCAGTAGTTATCAGTTCTACGGTAGTCCCATCAACTGGAGTTGCTGTTCCATCTTCTACAGTTGTTATGTCACCTGTTTGTGTTCCTGCAGTAGTTACCTCTTCTGCTGTAGTTCCATAAACTGGACTTGCTGTTCCCTCTTCTGCAGTAGTAATGTCACCTGTTTGTGTTCCTACAGTAGTAAACAGTCCTACTGTAGTCTCATCAACTGGAGTTGCTGTTCCATCTCCTGCGGTCGTTATGTCACCTGTTTGTGTTCCTGCAGTAGTTATCTGTCCTGCTGTAGTTCCATCAAGTGCAGTTGTTATTCCATCTTCAGTAGTTGTTATGTCACCTGTTTGTGTTCCTGCAGTAGTTACCTCTCCTGCTGTAGTTCCATAAACTGGAGTTGCTGTTCCCTCTTCTGCAGTAGTAATGTCACCTGTTTGTGTTCCTGCAGTAGTTATCATTTCTACGGTAGTCCCATCAACTGGAGTTGCTGTTCCATCTTCTACAGTTGTTATGTCACCTGTTTGTGTTCCTGCAGTAGTTACCTCTCCTGCTGTAGTTCCATAAACTGGAGTTGCTGTTCCCTCTTCTGCAGTAGTAATGTCACCTGTTTGTGTTCCTGCAGTAGTTATCAGTTCTACGGTAGTCTCATCAACTGAAGTTGTTGTTCCATCTTTTGCAGTAGTTAGGTCACCTGTTTGTGTTCCTGCAGTAGTTATCAGTACTACTGTAGTCCCATCAACTGGAGTTGCTGTTCCCTCTTCTGCAGTAGTTATGTCATCTGTTTGTGTTACCACAGTAGTAATCTGTCCTGCTGTAGATCCACCAATGACAGTTGCTGTTCCATCTTCATCAGTCGTCATGTCACCTGTTTGTGTTCCTACAGTAGTTATCTGTTCTAATGTAGTTCCATCAACTGCAGTTGCTGTTCCATATTCAGAAGTTATGTCACTTGTTGATGTTGTTGCAGTAATTAACAGTCCTGCAGTAGTTTCATAAACTGCAGTTGCTGTTTCATCTTGTGTTGTAATCATGTCATCTGTTTGTGTTCCTATAGTACTTATCAGTCCTACTGTAGTCCCATCAACTGGAGTTGCTGTTCCATCTTCTGCAGTAGTCATGTCACCTGTTGGTGTTACCACAGTAGTTATCTGTTCTGCTGTAGATCCATCAACGACAGTTGATGTTCCATCTTCTGCAGTTATGTCACCTGTTTGTGTTCCTACAGTAGTTATCTGTCCTAATGTAGTTCCATCAACTGCAGTTGCTGTTCCATATTCAGCAGTTATGTCACTTGTTCTTGCTGCAGTAGTTAACAGTCCTTCTGTAGTTTCATAAACTACAGTTGCTGTTCCATCTTCTGTCGTCATTATGTCACCTGTTTGTGTTCCTATAGTACTTATCAGTCCTACTGTAGTCCCATCAACTGAAGTTGCTGTTCCATCTTCTGCAGTAGTCATGTCACCTGTTGGTGTTACCACAGTAGTTATCTGTTCTGCTGTAGATCCATCAACGAGAGTTGCTGTTCCATCTTCTGCAGTAGTAATGTCACCTGTTTGTGTTCCTACAGAAGTTATCTGTCCCGCTGTAGATCCATCAACGACAGTTGCTGTTCCATCTTCTGCAGTCGTTATTTCACCTGTTTGTTGTTCTACAGTAGTTATCTGTCCTAATGTAGTTCCATCAACTGCAGTTGCTGTTCCATATTCAGCAGTTATGTCACTTGTTGTTGCTGCAGTAGTTAACGGTCCTTCTGTAGTTTCATAAACTGCAGTTGCTGTTCCATCTTCTGTCGTCATTATGTCACCTGTTTGTGTTCCTATAGTACTTATCAGTCCTACTGTAGTCCCATCAACTGAAGTTGCTGTTCCATCTTCTGCAGTAGTCATGTCACCTGTTGGTGTTACCACAGTAGTTATCTGTTCTGCTGTAGATCCATCAACGACAGTTGCTGTTCCAGCTTCTGCAGTTATGTCACCTGTTTGTGTTCCTACAGTAGTTATCTGTCCTACTGTAGATCCATCAACTGCAGTTGCTGTTCCCTCTTCTGCAGTAGTAATGTCACCTGTTTGTGTTCCTAAAGAAGTTATCTGTTCTGCTGTAGATCCATCAACGACAGTTGCTGTTCCATCTTCTGCAGTCGTTATTTCACCTGTTTGTTGTTCTACAGTAGTTATCCGTCCTAATGTAGTTCCATCAACTGCAGTTTGTGTTCCATATTCAGCAGTTGTGTCACTTGTTGGTGTTGTTACAGTAGTTAACAGTCCTGCTGTAGTTTCATAAACTGCAGTTGCTGTGCTATCTTCGGCAGTTGTTATGTCACCTGTTGGTTCTTCAGTTGTTTTCAGTCCTGCTGTAGATCCAGCAACTGTGTTTGCTGTTAAGTCTTGTGCTGTAGTTTCATAAACTGCAGTTGCTGTCCCATCTTCTGCTGTCGTTATGTCACCGGTTTGTGTTCCTACAGTACTTATCAGTCCTACTGTAGTCCCATCAACTGGAGTTGCTGTTCCATCTTCTGCAGTTGTTATGTCACCTGTTTGTATTACCACAGTAGTTGTCTGTCCTGCTGTAGATCCATCAATCACAGTTGCTGTTCCATCTTCTGCCGTTGTTATATCACCTGTTGCTGTTCCATCTTCTGCCGTTGTTATATCACCTGTTTGTGTTCCCACAGTAGTTATCTGTCTTACTGTAGTGCCATCAACTGGAGTTGCTGTTCCATCTTCTGCCGTTGTTATGTCACCTGTTGATGCTCCTACAGTAGTTATCAGTCCTACTGTAGTCTCATCAGCTGCAGTTGCTGTTACCTCTTCTGCAGTTGTCATGTCACCTGTTAATGTTTGTAAATTAGTTATCTGTCCTGCTGTAGTTCCATCAAGTGCAGTTGTTGTTCCATCTTCAGTAGTTGTTATGTCACCTGTTGGTTCTTCAGTTGTTTTCAGTCCTGCTGTAGATCCATCAACTGCGGTTGCTGTTAAGTCTTGTGCTGTAGTTCCATCAACCGCAGTTATTGTTCCACTTTCCACAGTTATATCTCCTGTCTGCATTCCTCCAGTAGTTATCAGTGCTGCTGTAGTTCCACCACCTAAAGTTACTGTTCCATCTGCTGCAGTTGTCAGTTTACCTGTTGATATTCCTATTACAGTAGTCAATCCTGTTGTTGCAGCTCCAATATCAGTTATCATGATAGCACTTGATGTTGTATCAGGTATTTGCCCTGCAGTTGTCTTTGCTGCAGTACTTACATCATTCTGTGTTGTAACTCCAATGTAAGAAGTAGTGGCAGCACTGGATGTTGAATCAGGTGTTTGCACTGCAGTTGTCCTTGCGGTAGTAGCTGCATCATTTGGCGTAGTAATTCCTATGTCAGAAGTAAAGACACCGCTTGACGTTGTATCATCAGGCGTTAGCAATGCAGTTGTCTTTGCTGCAGTTGCTGCTTCAGTTTGAGTTGTAAGTCTAATATTTGTTGTAATGCCAACATTTGATGTTACATCAGGTGTCGGCACTGCAGTTGTCCTTGCTGTAGTTGTTGCTTCATTTTGTGTTGTAACTTCAATGTTACTTGTAGCACTATCACTTGAAGTTGCATCAGGTGTTGGCACTGCAGTTGTTCTTGCTGCAGCTGTGGCATCATTTTGTGTTGTGACTCCTTTGACCGTTGTACTGACAATGCTTGTTGCATCAGGTGTCGGTACTGCAGTTGTTTCATCATTTTGTGTTGTGATTTCAATATATCTAGTTGTGCCAGCACTTGATGTTGTATCAGGTGTTGGCACTGCAGTTGTCCTTGCTGCAGTTGTTTGATCAATTTGTGTTGTAGCTCCAAAGTTCCTTGTAGCACCAGCACTTGTTGTATCAGGTGTTGGCACTGCAGTTGTTCTTGCTGCAGTTGTTGCATCATTTTGTGTTGTAACTCCTTTGACAGTTGTAATGGCAGCACTTGTTGCATCGGGTGTTTGCACTGCAGTTGTTCTCGCTGCAGTTGCTGCAGTACTGACAATGCTTATTGCATCAGGTGTTGGTACTGCAGTTGCTCCATCATTCTGTGTTGTGATTTCAATGTTTGTAGTTGTGCCAGCACTTGATGTTGTATCAGGTGTTGGCACTGCAGTTGTCCTTGCTGCAGTTGATGCTTCAAGTTGTGTTGTAGCTCCAATTTTACTTGTAGCAGCACCATCACTTGATGTTGTATCAGGTGTTGGCATGGCAGTTGTAGCACCATTTTGTGTTGTTACTCCTTTGTCGGTTGTAATGACAGCACTTGTTGTTGTAGCAGGCATTAGCACTGCAGTTGTTGCATCATTTTGTGTAGTAACTCTTTTGTCAGTTGTAATGACAACACTTGTTGCATCAGGTGTTGGCACTGCCGTTGTTCTTACTGCAGTTGTTGCATCATTTTGTGTTGTTACTCCTTTGTCGGTTGTAACCACAGCACTTGTTCTATATGGTGTTGACACTGCAGTTGTTGCATCATTTTGTGTTGTGATTTCAATGTTTCTAGTTGTGCCTGCACTTGAAGTTGAATCAGGTGGTGGCACTACAGTTGTCCTAGCTTCAGTTGTTGCATCAGTTTGTGTTGTAGTTCCAATGTTCCTTGTAGCACCAGCACTTGATGTTGTTTCTGGTGTTGGCACTGCAGTTGTTCTTGCTGCAGTAGTTGCTACATTTTGTGTTGTGATTTCAATGTTTCTAGTTGTGCTGGCAATTGATGTTGTATCAGGTGTTGGCACTGCAGTTATTCTTGCTGCACTTGTTGCATCATTTTGTGTTGTAACTCCTTTGTCAGTTGTAATGGCAGCACTTGTTGATGCATCAGGTGTTGGCACTGCAGTTGTTTTTGCTGCAGTTGTTGCTTCATTTTGTGTAGTGACTCCTTTGTCAGTTGTAATGACAGCACTTGTTGCATCAGGTGTGGGCACTGCAGTTGTTCTTGCTGCAGTTGTTGCATCATTTTGTGTTGTTACTCCTTTGTCGGTTGTAACAACAGCACTTGTTGTTCCATATGGTGACACTGCAGTTGTTGCATCATTTTGTGTTGTGATTTCAATGTTTCTAGTTGTGCCTGCACTTGAAGTTAAATCAGGTGTTGGCACTACCGTTGTCCTTGCTTCAGTTGTTGCATCAAGTTGTGTTGTAGTTCCAATGTTTCTTGTAGCACCAGCACTTGATGTTGTATCAGGTGTTGGCACTGCAGTTGTTCTTGCTGCAGTAGTAGCTACAGTTTGTGTTGTGATATCAATGTTTCTAGTTGTGCCGGCAATTGATGTTGTATCAGGTGTTGGCACTGCAGTTGTTCTTGCTGCAGTTGTTGCATCACTTTGTGTTGTAACTCCTTTGTCAGTTGTAATGGCAGCACTTGTTGATGCATCAGGTGTTGGCACTGCAGTTGTTTTTGCTGCAGTTGTTGCTTCATTTTGTGTTGTAACTCCTTTGTCAGTTGTCATGACAGAACCAGTTGCATCAGGTGTTGGCACCGCAGTTGTTCTTACTGCATTAGTTGCTGCATTTTGTGTTGTGATTTCAATGTTTCTAGTTGTGCCAGCACCTGATGTTGTATCAGGTGTTGGCACTGCAGTTGTCCTTGCTTCAGTTGTTGCATCATTTTTTGTTGTAAGTCCGGTGTCAGTAGTAACAACATCACTGGATGTATCAGGTGTCAGTAAAACAGTTGTCCTTGTTACAGTTGTTGCTTCATTTTGTGTTGTAACTCCACTGTCAGTGAAAGCATTTGTTCCAGTCGTTGTAACTGCAACAGCAGGGATAAAAGACAACACTATATTAGAAGAAAACAATATCCCAGATCTGTGCTTGCAAGCCTAAAGCACGATACATGTATATACATGGATACTTAAGTGCTTCTATCATGTAGTGTTGTAGATTACATATTTGATTGAATTTTTTCAAAGCCTCGCTTTTTAATGATTCATTTGCTGTTGAGCATTGTCTTTTCACTTCAGGCGTAAATGTACACTGTGTATTGTGTACAGTGAAGGAATTTCATTACCAAGTTAGGCCCCCCCCCCAAAAAAAGTCTCCAGTTTCTGGTATGGAGTTTGCCCCAAAAGTGGTGTGGCGACGCGGGTTATTTTTTTCCCCTACTTTTTTTTCTTCAAATGATGCTGCAGATGACGCTTTGATCCCCTTAAAACTCTCAAAAATATCCTTCAGAATGGAGCTTGAGGTGACCTCAGTAAGGCCATAAGGCTTGAGAATTCTACAACCACTTACGATTTGACCGACACAAACATTCTTCAGGAAATTTGGATAGTCAAGGCAAAAATCAGAGAAAACAGTAACGTCAGACCATACAGCGACATTGACATCGTGCATGAGCTGCCAGGCTGGTCATTAGTCTGCTCCCTTACACATTACGCTAATTAAAAAGCGTTTACAGGTTCCAGATACACGACCATCACTCCCTCAGTCTGGCTTCCAGATGCACAATTACAAAATTACAACACTGTCTTCAAATGGTGCCCGACTAAATTTAGTGCAAAATATATGGGAGCCCAGACAGGCCACATAAAGCTTATACTCGATCATAACCCCATCTCAAAACATGTTAAAATTTTGCAGCAGCAGGATTCCAGTCAAACCAGTGAGTTTGTGCGGTTTTGAGACATCATCTTGCATTGAAAAAAAAACTGTTTAATTTTGCTGACGCGCATGGCTACGGCGACGCGCGCGGACCAGAAACCTGAAACTTTTTGGGGGGGCCTAATCAACCTAATACATATTTATTTTTATGCCAAGCACAAAATATCAACCTTACATTAATGTTTTTATGAATATATATGAAGAATGGAAAATACACACAAGAAAGTGGAAACATTTTACAACTTAAATTTGTAAATTTTAGTAGTACTTAACTAGTTTTAAATACATGTATCAGACTGATTATGTAGACCAACATCATCTTTACATTTTTAATCCTAAATTTACCATTTTCCAGAATTTCAAAATGCAAATGTATGCATTACATGTTGTATGTAAGTAGACTGAAACAGCATACATCATGTGCAGGTTCATTCCTTCTGATGCCACTCACAAAACCAGATCGATGGAAAAGAAAACACAAAATTCCCCAAAACAGCTGGAAAAGCCACAATGAATGGGGCTTAATTAGTAACAGATATCGGGCAAATGCACAGATGTTGCGTATGATTGGACCCACATCTGTCATGTCTGTTGTCCAGGATTATTATTTGTGTGATCTGGTTTGTTGATTGCATGAGTCATCAAAACATTTGTAACAGCTGCTTGCGAATCTTTGTATATCTTTTTAATATGAATTGGCATTACCACTGCCAGTCTTGCCAATACTACATTTAAGTACATTGCATTTAAAACAGACAACAAATTCTATCAGTATTAAGTCCAAAAAAAAAAAAAAAAAAACCTTTTATATCATGTACTATTCTGGTAGAGTGCGCCTTTCTTATATTCCGATGTGCAAATCTTAACTCATTTGTTTTTTTAATGTACTGTATTCTGATATTTGTATGTATGATGGTAAACATTTTAGTAAGTTTGTATTTCTGATTTTGTGTTTTTAATTTGTACGCATTGTGGCAATTTAGCCTCTGGCTACAAACACAATGATTAATAAACCAGAATAATAATAATAATAATAATAATAACAATAATTACATCCAACTTGTCTAATTAAAATCTAGGCTGATGTAATAAATACCGAAAGTAATCTCTTGTTTTCTGTTTCTGTTTGTAACGCAAATTGTTCACTAATATTATAAGGTGTATATATCTAATTATAAAATCTTCAGCAAATTTCAATCACAATTTTGTTACAGTCTGCACTCTCTGTATTAAACAGTTAAAGCAGCATGAGTTACTTTAATTAAAAAACCATTGGTATGGAAGAAAAGCAGCATAATTTGACAAGTGCTACGAATGAGATTTTGAAATTTGTAGCTTTTGTGGTTGAATGCCATTTTAACGATTCGGGAAATTATGTGTTACAACAAAAAAGTAATTCTATGTAAAACAACACCGATACTGGGAAGGGAGGATGCATGGAAACAATACCGGTACAAGGAAAAGAAATTGTTGGTGGCAGATCATATTTCAACCACAGCAGGATCTTATAAAAAGGCCAGTGACATATAGAAAGAAATGTAACACATGGATACATGGATGTATACACATGTAGACCCATATACGGTACATGTACATTGTATACGTGTATAATACAATGAACTTGTACATTTATAACAGTACAATGTGTCACGTACAGATGTACATGTACATGTACATGTAGTACGTCCCTGTATGACTGGTATGCAATGCACAGAGAACAAAATTTGTTATTGAATGAATACATGTAGGTTCAACGGGACAACATACAATGTCATGATACAATGTAGCACAAAGAAATGGGACAATTGTACACAGATGATGCATTTGAAGGATTCTCATCTAACTGATACATGAATGCCCTTTAACATTTTGAGTATAGCTTTATTTCACTATGTGGGGTCATGCCATGTTTTCAAGGCAAAAAAAATAAAAAATGTGTGTAGATGGTACAGACCCGACCTACAATGTACCTTGAATTTTTTAAGGCCAAAATTACCGACCTCCTCCTTTTTATTGCTGTACAATGTATTTGGCCAAAAATGTCATAATAAAAAAATCTTCTCTGAAAGTCTTTTTGTGTGCTTTTAGATAATTTAATAAACAAACAGGTTAATCAAACAGAACAATGTCAAAGGTACCCTAGAGTAAACGCACAAGGGACCGACAAACAAATTTACAAAAAAAAGTTACAAAAGTTACATTGTATATTCCTACCCACCTACCTGCACAATTTTTAGGCATTAACAAATTTGTTTCATATCTTTTTTTCTCTCGACCTACATGTATTAGGCCTATATTTATAAAGCAGATGCTAACTAAAATATCTACTGGTAAAATAACCCCCAAAAATTATCTTTCTTTTTTTTACGTGTTTATGGACAGAGTGTTGTAAACGAATCACAGTAGCTTTAAAGGGTCCATTCGATGAATTTTTTTTGAGAAACACATTCTGTGCAATTTTCTACTCCTCTTATTAACCAAATGAAAACTATCTGATATCACCTTTTTTTTTGGGGGGGGGGGTTAATTCTATTGAATATTGCACTTCTTTCAACATTAAAAATGTGCCAAGCTTTTCAGGGTGTAACCAAGTGCGCTGTTGCTGTGATGTCATTTCAGGAAGACACTGTTGAGTTTAGGGGTCTTAGTTCAAAATGTGAACCCAAAATTTGCTGTAACACTGAGGTTAAAGTGAAAGCAAAACCTTAAAAGTGAAAGCAAAACACACTTTCAGTTGATTTATTTCACAGATAACCGCCTTTTTTCCCAAGGTCATTCAAATCAAATCTCTTTTTTTTTATAAGGTTCATTAAAAGTAATTGACACCATTTAAAAACATTCAAAAATGAAACTATCAAAATATCATAAAATATCCTACTTAAAGGGAATGTACAACATTTGCTTTTGCTGCAATTTTCAGAAATAAATGGATTTGGAGGATTAATATGTTATAGCAAATATTGTTAAACTGACTTGTTTCACGTTTTGGGCTTGTTTTTGCTGGGAAAACCATGAACTTATCATTTTCTTGTAGTCTGGTTCCCCGACTCCACTTAAGATGAAACGGAGAAACGTAAAGACTTTGGGGTATTGTAAGGTCAAAGAATCACTCTAGCAGGTTTGTACCCCTTCACAGTTCTGTAATCTATTGCAAAGAAAATGCGGAATAATATGAAAAAATAGGAGCAGTTTTTGAAAAAAGCCAGTTTTTTTCCAACGCTGGTCGGCCGACCAGCGTTGGAAAAATACAGTTTTTCTTGAAAAGTCAGCACACCAGGAGCCACGATTTTACAGGATGCTTTAGACTGTCAATCCCTAACAATTCAGTAAGGTATTTTGTGATAATTTGATCATTTCGTTTTTTGATGTTTGCAAATGTTGAATCTTCCCTTTAATTCATCTTGTGCATCCTGTGAAATCATTTTGTCTAGTACGCATTCGTTGATGTCACTTTCGAGAAAAAAAAAGGAATTGCCATCATTTCCTCGCCATGGTTAGGACCAAATCGTTGCACTTTCAACAGAAATCTGTGCTTTGCACCGAGAAAAATGAAGTGCATACACAGTTTTCTCAAAAGGTATGATACAGTACCTATATCTACATAGTACTGAGTTGAAATTTGTAAATTTAGTTTTTTAAGAAACTGCTTCAAATTTATTGAATTAATATATTCCTTGAATCGGCAAAAACACATTGTGTTTAAATGGTTTTCATTATAAACATTTTTAGCTCGGACACGGGAATTATGTACTGTATGTAGCATTATATTTTCACTGAAGGACTAATTCTGGATTTTTTTAAATAGAATTTGTTTAAATATTAAAAGGGAGAGGGTGAATTTCTTAAAGTCAGAACTAAACAAATTAATATTTAGAAGAGGGCTCTCCGCTAAGTGCATTAAGCTTTTAATAATTCAAAAATGTGTCCTTGGAGTGTGTAAAACTGGATACAAAGTTTTAAGTTTCAAAAAACCCTCATCCCTCTACGTTAACGTTGCACCTGTTATCGGCAATGATAAAGTGCAGTCTACCAGCAAAGATCCTAATGGTCGATGACAAAACGTTTTCTAAGGAGCTTTTAATTGTCTCCCCTTTGGCTTCAAGATCAAAGTACGGTTAATTCAATTTTGTTTCAGGGATCCGCCTGTGTACAGAACATCTGTTAAGTAAACAACCGCATTCAATTTCATTTTTGAATTTTGACCCCCGGGCCTTGGATACCGTATAAACAGTCAATTCTGGATGACAAAGGGCACCGATGCAACTATCTTTTTTTCATGTCGTGGAGGACAATGGGTCTTGACAAATGGTTCCATTTGTTTTCCATCAAGAGTAAAATGTACACAGAAGGCACATATTGCCAGTACTTACTGGTACTCCAATATGATAACAGACACTTTATAATTTTTTTATTTTTCAAATCAAGTCACTCGTACACATACGCATACCATGGACATGATGGAGGAATAATTATAAGCGCATACAAATGTAGATGAATTTTGTCAAAATTTTTAAGGCAAAAGCCCAACTTCTTGGCTTTCTCTTTGGTAATATTAACACAGAACTACACGTACCCGGTAGTCTATGGTAGTTTGTACACCAACCCAAAAAATTAACGCTTACCCCAAGAGAGTGCGTGCAACATATTTTTAAAAAAAATAGGGCCGACTCTTCAATTCAAAAATAACGGCTCAGGGAATGTAGAAATGATGATTTCTCTATTAGCACAAATATTACAAGGCCTTTAAAGGTAGGGTCATTTGTCATTTGTGCCTTTTTTTTTTTTTCGTTCGAAGCAACAAAAGTGCTCAAAATCAAAAGACAGGTGCTCAACAACTAGCTAACTCCATGAAATTACTGATTATTTTGTCTCCTTCAAAATGACAGCATGGAAAGAATAATTTCACAGGGAGTTTAGGCCTATTGCCTGTACAATTTTTAAACCAAGAAAGCCTTCAACAATATTTTTGTGAGTTACTCTATGGATAGCTGCAAATGATCTACACTACCTTTATTGTAATCAGGCCCTATGTGTGCCAGGCCGGGACTGTCTGCATGGTTTATCATGTGCGAGGACTCGTTATGTGACTTGATCATTTATATCCGGAAAATGAAAGTGTACACTATCCAAATATAAAGTAATATGATGCGCACAAAGAGCGAGTAGAACACAGACAGTGTTCAGGGTTATGTGTTAGACATGAAAAAAACATAATGGGGGCTGTGGCCTAAACCCCAGTTTTTGAAAATAGTGAATTTGTTTTACATCCCTTTCTCTTTTGGACTTCACCAAGACTGCTGTCCAGCCCCCCCCCCCCCCCCCCCCCCCCCTTCTGAACTCGGCATCCCTGAATTGTGTCATATTAGAATCAATACTTCCATCCAGAAAAAAAATATTGAAAAAGTTCTGGGGGAAATATTTCATGAAAAATTTTCAGAAAAAAAAATTTAAATCATCAAAAAATTTTGGAAAAAGGCATTTTCCCCTGTCTAACATTAAAACCCCTCCATCCTTTAGCCTTACAGATATGCAGCCCTCACACACAAAAAAGGAGGTCGCCATTTGGTTTGTTTTTTGGGGCATTTCGTCTTAAAATGAAATGTTTATTTTACCGTGAACCAGTCCCGCATTTTGTCCATTCTTAATCCAGCACATCGTACAACGCCCTTGTTGTGCACTTTCTTGAAAATCACGCAATAATAAGAATGCACACGCATTCTTAAGAAAGAGCACGCATTCTTAAGAATGAGCGCTCATTCTTAAGATTGCGTGGGAATATCACGTGCGCAATTTATGAATTTTACGCAATCTTAACAAACATGGCACGACATAATTATGTTAAATGAAATGTATAGCGGTTAAAAGGGAAATAATTCATATAAAGAGGAAAGAAAATGTTCCATGCTTCTGTACTCGTACAACTACGATAATTTGAATCAAATTAAACCTGTTATTATTGCTTTTTTCTGCCCACTATGGGAAGTTTTGTAATAACGGAGGACTGGGAACTAGTCTGGGAAGTGCTTTGTTTAGGCTAGACAAGTTACAAGTCCCTGTATACATGTATCATATGCATGCCACGAAAAAAAAAAAAAAAGATGTCCAGAAGCTGCCAAAATTGCTCTTTTGACTAGATAGAATCCAGCTCTGCGGCGTAATGGTGGGAATGTGAACAATTAATTGGTGGCAATTTTAACGGAAAATAGCATTAGCGCTATGGGATGTCGCAGTATTCATTCTCATTCTCCACATTCTTCATTCTTACGTCCCCCCCCCTCCCCCTCTTTTATTATCCCAAAAATCAGAATTCTTTCAAATACACTATTATTATGTCTCTTATTTTTTTCCCGGTCCCCCCCCCCCAATACGCGTATACTTTGACATCCACTCAACTTTTCAGCGTTAAGTAAGTGACCTTGCGATGCAACAGTATAATTATTAAGAATCAGTGAACGAGAATGCAGCTAGACTTGCCAAGCGCAGCCGGTGCTCGGCATCGACAAGACCGTTATCTTGTTGCGCATTCTTAAGAATGTGCGCTCAATCTGGAAGAGTTATTTTTTGGCGAAGATTGCGCAAGGATCCAGTTGCGCAATCCTAAGAATGTGCATGCGCATTCTTAAGAATGCGTGATTTTCAAGAAAGCGCACAACACCCTCATGCACGCCTACCGATGCATGTATACAAGTAGGCCTACACCATAAAAGATATTTAATTACCATGCCAATTTGAGCGAACATGTGCTGGATATGGCACAATAGGCTAGTCATTACGATGATGCAGATTGAGTTCGAGTCCCAGCCCATGCCACTTTTTTTAATCTCTCATAAAATTAAGAGTCATCTTCTGTTTTAAATTGAATCGTACACTTACATGTAATTGCAAAACATTTCATGGTCTCTTTTTGATTAGTGGCTCTTGGGGATTTATTTAAAGGGAAATAAAGTCCAAAACTGTGATATTTTAGGTCTGATTCACATTTCCTTAACACGAGTCTTAAAGACAATGTTAGGCCAAAAAAAAAATTCTGCTTCCGATTACATAGCATTCAAAAATAGGGTAGAAAGGTAGGGAAATTTTTTTTTTTTGATTTTGTGTGTGTACGATCATGAGGAGGCGTCTGCGTGTAGTCAAGGGTAAAAGGTAGTAATTGATGGTTTTGGGTGTTTTTTCCTCATTTTTCCCGTAAAAAAAATTTGGGTTAGGGCTGTCAGAAAAGGCTAGGTAGGGAAACCGGAAGAATTTTTTTTTGCCTTAGCGCGGAACCCCCCCCCCCCCAACTCCCCCCAAAAAGCCACTTCACATATAAATTCACAACACTGAAAACAATCGGAGATGGTTCACTGTCAAATAGGCCTACACACTGCCAATGCCATCTTATTTAGGATTGTCATTAGAATATTGACTTTGTTTTTTGAAGAAAAAAAAACAGAGTAGGCCTAGGCCTACATCAACCGTGTAAAGTAACATTGCAAAGATTAAATTTTGAAGAAAGCAATTATTACGGTAATCCTTACTTTTAGGACCCCGTTCCTATATATAGGAAGGGAAAGACTCACCAAAACAATTGACTAAATGACACTCAAAAATTGACATTCTGATATTTCTTGGCACATCTGAACAATTGGCAATGACACCTTCTTGAATATCAGCAGGTTTAATTTTGTGGAAAGAGGGCAGGGCTTTGATTTATGAGGGAAATTAAGGGGTAACAGACGACGATGACAACCAGAAAACAGACTCAAAAACCAAGATGGCAAACGTGAAAGCTCAATGCGATGAAAGCTCGATGCTGATTAGCTGATAAAAAATGAACAACTTATTTATTTTTTTTAGCAGCCAATCAGCATCGGGCTTTCATATATGTAGGGCTTTCACTCGTGTTGTGAGAACTACAACATGCACGTCTGGCTGCGAAAAAAGGTAGGAAAGTCACATTTTCTTTGAAAGTGCTTTCAAAATTACAACTACATGTAACTTGAGTTTATATGAAGAAAAAAGACTGCTTTAGCCTGCAAAAGTCACTTTGGTAGGCCTACTGGACAGTCATCTGCAAAAGTCAGTTTTGAACAGAACTCGTAAAAAATAGGTGTCCTAAAAGTAAGGATTACCATTATTACCTTGGGAATATGAGATCCTCCAGAAATTGGTCACAACGACCAAAAGGAGCAGCAACCTCCAACACCCCCTGCCATGTCCCGAGTCAACCCCGCCCATTGTTGGATCTCTGCTTCACTTGTCAGCCACACACCTCAGGCCACCAGGGAATGGATCACAACAAAGTTGGCCGTCCACCAACGATTGTCAGTCACCTGTGAAAAGAGTGAAAAGGAAAGCTGTTGACATACTCACTTCACAAAGTCACAATGGCTTTAAGCTTTAAAAACCACCGAAATCATAATCGCACGCGCGAAAGTGGGAGATTTATTTGGGTTGACGCATGCGTGAGCAACAACAATCACATGGCACGTGTGCAGACGTAGGCACAAGGCCTTTACACCACGAACCGAACCGAACACAGCCCGAAATAGGAACGCCAAAATAACAAGATTTACTAGCAAACATTTTACCCGGAACGTCCCTCATTTGTATCTACATCTGAAGTTACCTGTATGCGGTACTGGACCTCAGATGAATCAAATTAATTCGAGTAAAATTGATGCCGTTTCCAAGGCCGACCACCGGCATTTGAGACCGGCGGGGCCATTTTGCCTTCGGTCTTGTAGGACGCCACCAAGTGATGGTTTCCATACATATACTGACGGGAAAAGCATAAAAATAACAAAAACGCGCGCGATTTTTCCAGAAAGTTCCCCTGAAAATAAAATTTAAAAAGAAACATCAAGAAAACCTTTTATACCAATAAAAATTAAAGGAAGCATGATTCACTTGAAATTGCTCGAGACGATCAATCCTAGTAGTAGCAGCGGCGGCGGAACTTGCTTTTCAAACGGGGGATGGGGGGGGGGGGGTGTCGGGGTGTCACCAGAAAAAAAAGGCACCTTCCGTCCATGTGAAAGAGGAGACAATTTTGAAACTATTTCCGTTAACATTGCAAGGAATACATGTTACCCGTAACAACATTTACTAACAACATTGATATTGGCCTAGCCCACACTTCTGTTTTTTAATAATTTTTGCGTTCAAAAGTGTTAATCCCCTTACTCAAAAAATTACATTGTAGGCATATTATTCCTGAAATAGTCTCAACATTGTTCTAGTAATTTTTCACTTGAGAGAGCCCTTCGGCCTCCAGGACACCTAGGCAGTAACCCCTCTGGGTCCGCACTTGAATTTGACTAGTTAGGCCTATGCCGGGACCATATCGTTTTATCGTGAGACGGCCGCTCTTCCATCTTGAGAGGGGCACAGTTTTTATGTTGCGAGCGGGGCACTAATTGTGCTTTCGAGGGGCAGTTTTCCATCTCGATGAGTTACCGCGAGAGGAGCACTAGTGTTTTAAAGGCCAATTTCATCTCGAGAGGGGCACAAGTTTTATTATTGCAAGAGGGGTATTGCTTTCGAAGGGCACTGTTGCATTACAAGAGAGGAGACCATAGCGCTTTCCTGTGTGCGTTTGAGGGGCAGTTTTGTTTTCATCTCGAGGGGGCATATGACCGCGAGATGGGCCGCACTTTTGCATGGCCTGGGAACCCCCTGATGGTAGTAGGCCTATATCATTATAGGGAAAATTCGGGACAAGTAGGCCCATTAACTCAGTGAGTTTTGACTATATGTCCGTTAAGTTAAAGCTATTGCTAGAGTATTGGTGATCGACTCTGTAAAAGTAAGACTATAACTATAGCCCACATAATGATCCCCAGGCTGACGATGGGTGACACTCAAAATGTCTCTGTTGACGTCTCTCTCTCTGCCCGAAGGGCGAGAGCTTGCGCTGTTTCGCACGCTCGGAGGTTTGCTGGGACCATGTAGATGGGTTGAAACCAAAGATTTGCAGAGTCCAGACTCTTCAGTCTTTCAAGTCCAGCGCTTTCTTGATAGTAGGTTTCATAAGGTTAACTCACCAGCTGATCTAGCTCAATTTTGTGGCCCCTTTCTCATGGCCCTCCTGACCATACCAACCACAGTGTGCCCGGCAGACGTCCATTTCCTTACATTGGTATGCATGTGGATCATTGCTGCATACATGAAAATTGGTTACCTTTCCAGCTAGGCTGACACCCCACCCCCCCCCCCCCCCCCCCGGCCCCCGATCTATTACCATGTACCAGCTCCGACAGCATGAGTTGCTTGGGAACTTGCGGTTATTGTCCCCGGGCTATGATGCTCCCTAAAACCATGGAGCTATAGCTCCATGCTAAAACTGAGCGCCAAGATAAAATAGCCCGAACCAGTTTATAACGTCTTTGGCTCGGCACCATCGCCAGCTCCGGGCAAAATGAAGACGTTTTATTTTTCAATGTAAGATGATGTCTCAAAACCGCCAAACTCACTGGTTTGACTGGAATCCTGCTGCTGCACAATTTTAACGTGTTTTAGATGGGGTTATGATCGAGTATAAGCTTTATGTGGCCTCTCTGGACTCCCATATATTTGCACTAAATTGAGTCGGGCATCAATAAGACATTAGCCGACATTTGAAGAAAAAAAAACGGGTAAAAAAAGGCCGCGTCGCCACGCCACTTTTGGGGACTTTTTGGGGGCCTAACTTACGATTTTTTTTCAAGGGTCATGCACTCTGCCCTCCCCCCTAAAATCACACTTCAATAATACAACAAATTGATAATCACATAGGCCTATAAACCTTTTAAACACTTCACGGAAACAAAACACTGACCGCATATCGTTTGCACAAATATAATTTGGTTCCTTTCAAAAGTACCCAATCGGCTTCTGTAATATGAAGCCTTTTAAACAAAACTGCAAAGACCATTTTCCTGTGAAAACTAATCTCTATAGTCTTCGCTGCTGCAAGAGCACAATCCAGATTGTGAATAGTTAGCTTTATACATTGAAGGACGTACGTGGAGACCAAGTAAGCTATTTTCCAGAAAATTGACATTTACCTTGTAAGCCCCACGCTGAAACCAACAATAGGCCTGATAATAATATACAATTAGGAAAAGAGAAAAGCTTCCTATTTCGGCAAAAGAAACTTCCACACAATTCGTAAACTTTTTTTATTCGAGGCCAGTAAAATAATTCCCATAGACCTATATAGGCTACCATGGACACAGACATACTTGTACTTTACTCTGGTCCCTTGCATGATGTATACATCGGCCTACTGCGGGTTCCTACTTCCTATATAGCTAGCCCATTCAACAGTCAACTAGGCCTTAATTTAGGCCAATTATAATCATTGAACTTCCCTGAGGATCACAACCAACATTTGAGGGCAACTTACCTGTCAAGATCCCACATATTTCGACGACTTTTTCTTCAGGTTTGACGAAACAAATACAATTTCCAAAAGTTTTTAAAAAAAAATAATGTACACGCGTCTGTTGCTACGGTTAATAACAACGCTACCTGACTTTATTGTGTACTAAAGGGGTACAAGGTCCACCCCTGCTGGTAACCGTTTTTCCCGTGTTACTATACATGACACGGGGAGCCAGCTAAAGGCCTTCTGTGGGGGAACTCGTTGCTAAGGGCAACACGATCGTTCTAATGCCAGATAACATACCGAAGCGACTTTTGACCCCAAGGGTAACTTCTATACTGCATGGTATAACTGCAACTCTATAGGCTTATAATAGGGAACACTGTCGTATAGGCTTATAATAGGGAACACTGTTGTCGAAGATACTGTCTGTATCCATGTTACGGGCATGATACCTGCATGGTACAAAAGGGTCTGATTAAGTGCGGGTTATACATGTTATGGTCCGAGGAAACGAAGACAGAACAACAGGTTTAATGTGGTCATCGAACGGAAAACTATATATATATATTGAGAGCGCCCCTCCCTTTGGAGGCTGGCATGTACTTTTGTGTGCAAAATGTGTGGGACGCGAGGCGTACCACGGACGTTATACCCGGGGCCGGGGGCAGCGGCGTAGCCAGGGTTCTCATCCTAGAGGGGCGTGGGGGAGCAAAAAAAAATTCATCTGTGCTGAAAGGTAGACAGTGTTTTTTCACCGGACACCCGGCCTCAGTAAAATCAAATAAAGGAAAGGGGGGTTAGACACCATCTTCCCATGGGGCGCTGTTCAAAACATATATCATGGTTAATGTTAGACAATAACTACCGCTATTCGCTTTCCACGGACGATAAAATAAACAGCCACCGCGGCTTTAGGTGAAAAATACACACAAATCGCGGAATAAGCGACTTATTAATGTTTTTCCGGCTCATCATGGCTACTAATACGGCTGTGCTTTTCTCCGGATGCCAAATTTCCAGTGTGTGTGTGTGTGTGTGTGGGGGGGGGGGGGGGGGGGGGGGGTGAATGGGGGGCACTAACTTTTTATGGGGGGCGTTCCCCCCCCCCCCCAGCTTTATTTTAGAATTATTTTAGAATTTGAACTGTTATCTTTATTTTAGAATTATAAAGGATCTAATTAAGTATACACTCTATAACTTTATAAAAAAAACTTAAAACTGTTCCAGTATGGGACCTCTACAACGATGGCCTTTGTGCAGGGTGAGTCAAAACACCGAAACCCAAATGTCGGGACTATTGTTTTAGTGAAGTTCTGCATGTAGCACTTTCAAAATCTAAGATATGAAAGCCCAATTCATAAGCTTTCTTTTATAGTACAAGAATCATTCAATTCACTCGTGTACTTTTAAAGTTAAGGAATTTTAAACACAACCACCGCACGGTTTTAAAGTTCTGTTCGCGACTCCGCGGATCACAAGAAGGTTACGTGTTCTTTAAGCAAAACGAAAACAAATCACATAGGGAAGTCTGTGAATTGTTTTCGTTTTGCTGAAAGAACGCACAACTTTTTCTGTGGTCCGTGGACAGAACTTTAAAACGGTGGTTGTGTTTAAAATTCCCTAACTTGAAAAATACATGAGTGATTTGAATAATTCTTAGACTAAAAGAAAGCTTTTGAATTGGGCTTTCATATCATAGATTTTGGAAAGTGCCACTTGCAAAACTTCCCTAAAACAATAGGCCCAACATTTGGGTTTCGCTTTTTTGACTCGCCCTGTATTAGGGGATTAATCTGTAATCCTATCCTATATCCTATCCGGTGCCATCCTCTGACAAGGATGGGTGGAAGCCAACTTTGCATACATCTCAAAGTCACACCCCACTGCACACGCACAGCCATAAAACCTCCAGCGTCATCCACATCCCATCACTCACCCTCCTGAGGACGGACAGAGAACACTGTCCGAAACGTCGAGTTCTGCACTCAACCAACCCGTTCTTTTCTGAACCACACTTCTTCCAAGAAGAGATTCCTTTCCACATGGTGTTACCCAAAAACTTCCTCTATTTTATCTTATCCGCCATGCAAAGCTTCAAGTCATATATACATCTCCAAGATTGGCGATATTTGGCACATCGCATTTGCATGGCTGTGTGGATGCCGAGTCCGGTCCAGTCCTTTGGTGTCTCTCCGGGTTGCTTTGGGTCGACCTCTTGATCTTTTCCCCTCTACTTTGCCTTCTAGGATCATTGCTCCTAACTCCCCAGCACTTTTCTGGCCAGATGCCCGACGCAGTAGAGCTTCCTCCGGCGGACAGAAACTATGAGTTCTTTGGGCGAAATCTCAGCTAGTACTGATTCATTTTTCCTTTTGTCTGTCAACATTATTCATTAATATTCCACTTTGGCACACCCCTCAACTTAAGTGCCATAACTTCAACCGATCAAATCAGTTTAGTTAATGTCGTTGTGGCCCTGCTATATGTTGTCATTTTGGGATGCATCTACAAAATAATAAATAACATGTAATAGCGTGATAAGAGTTGTTTTGTCACCTTTTGGAATCCCGCCCTCTCCTGGTCGCCAAAAGTAAGTTACGACGGCTGTAATATTTAAACAAGTATGAATAAAACAACACATGATATGTAGCTTAGAAACCGGTGTTTACTGTGCTCTATGACTAAAGTATGAGATTTCATATTTTCATTTGTTATGTAAGTTTTCGTAAATGTGCGACTTCTTTCACGAATTTCAAATGGATAGGCCTATATAGCATTAAAATAAACTCTTCCAAGACTATTGTTGAATTGCTAGCACTGTACATGTATACAGTCGAACACCTATAACAAGGTCCTTGGGACTTTACAAATTGCCTTGTTATAACAGGTACTTTGTATTATCAGTAATGGAAAACAGGAAAACAAAGGGAACAAAGACTTTGGGCCTAACATTTTCCTTCTTATAAGCAGGATGTTATTAACAGTGCTCTTCTTATCAGGGTTCGACTGTACTTACAACATCCAAAGTTACAAGTGCATTTCCACAAACTACGAGGAAAAAAGGTTTAATCTGAGCTGTTTGAGATTCACTTAGATCAGGCACGCAACAAAGTTGATCTGTGACTATTTCAAATCAATCAATCAATCTAGTTTTAATTCATAACTTCATAATGAAAACATATAAAGTACGTAACTTAATAGATAAACAAAACATAAAAGTAAATGACAAAGATAAGTAACAAAGATAAATGAAAAGCAGAGAAGTCATAAGGAAGTTGTAAGAAGTCCAAGGACTTATGAAACACTCCCTTTAAACCCCCCCCTCCCCCGAGAGAAAATCCCAAGTGTTCCCTTTACGCCCAACTACCATACCCCAACCTAAGATGTTCCAGTATTAAACTTAATAAAGACAAGAATGTATGTATAAAACAATGTACAATGTAAACACTGTAGGTGTAGGTGTTATTTTGTAGGTGATGGAAAATATGAATCCGTCAGTTATTTTAATACACAAGCAATACACCACACGGTTAGCAGATAACCACTAAAAACTATTACAAAGATTGAAATTGAATCATTATTTATTTTCCAGGGGTACAGGGGCAAGTGCCCCCTTTCCCCTCCAAATGCATATGACTCTGTATGTTTTTTTTAATGCCGTCCTAGTAAATGCACATTTGTGTACAATTTAACCTTATTTTTTAAGTTTCGTTTTTGCCATTTTTTTTCAGGGCATTTTGGTGCCTTTTTGTTTTTTGATGCTTATGATGGTTTGCATACTCATATGCAAAAGTGTAATGTCATTTCAGGCAGAAACCACAATTTTACAGCTATTACAGCACCACAATTTGCCAGAATATTGGATATTTTGATGTCATACATTTGTACAATTTCTTTTCTTTGGTGATTTGATTCAGTACATGGCAATAGGCCAGTGAGCAACGTTTTCTAACAAATGTTTTCAATGAGCAAAATTTGGATTCACAATTTAACCAGAAAACTCCCAAAGTGAACAGTGTCTTCCTGAAATGACATCACATTTAGACTGTGCTCTTGATACACCTTTCCTATACTATAATTACTTTTGTATGTTGAAATGCTATGTGACCATATGATGATTGTTGACGACAGTTTTGGGTGCTCTGATTATAGAAGGCTAGTCCTTCTCTGGATGGCACCCCATTCATACTCTAATTCTGCTTATTATTTAACTACATTTATTCATATTACACTATGTAAACTGTTGCTTATGTATGTACATGTATGAATGGAATAAAACAAACAAACAAACACCCAACAAACAAACAGCAACATCACCATCATTTGTCAGGGAAAGCACAGATTTCTTAAAGGGCCTGTGACATGGCTTTCTCTTGGGAATTACTCCTCTTCAATGTATGAAAACTATTTGACATCTTTTTTTGGTAAATTTTATTGAAATGTACACTTTTTTTAAACGTTAAACAATTTTCATAGTTTTCCAGACAAATGAGGGCTCTGTTGCTATGATGTCACTTTTTAATCTATTTCATTGACAATTCAACAAAATCAGGAAATTTGTTGTACAATGTAAGTCCGATTTATTGAAATGCTAAAAAGAAAACCAAAATGAATGTTCAGTACTTCACAAAAATAGCGGACACTGTGACATCTACCTTAGCGTCTCCGTTTTGCTCTGTCACGTATTCATAGTCAGCTGCTGAAGGCTGCCTCTGATATGCAACTTTGCACTTGGTCACATACCAACTGTAGTATGTCTTGGCTGAATACGCCAGACACCACTGTATGCTCAACGAGGTCCACCTGGATCCAAGAACTGTCATTGCTGTGAAACACAGAGTGAAGAGAGATGAAGAAAAATTGAATATCCATCCATACATACTGGAATTTGTATCCTCCTTGTGGAGACATTTCTTGGTTCTCGTGATCAATACACGGTACCCTCTGAAGACATAGGTATAATAGGGAACAAAAGATTGTATACGTCCCCACAGGGTAATTTCTATAGATGAATACGTCTCCACAAGGTTATCACGACACATACATGTATGGATTTTACTCAAAAACTAGGAATTTCCAAGGTGGGTTGATCAGTCGCAAATTGAAGTATTTTATGTAAGTGATATTAGGTCCGAATTTTAGCACAGGGAAATTAATTCTGGTTACAATAGGAGCATTTTGAAAGTAAACTTTCAAACTTCGAAAACTTAAGTACTCCCCTACCCAACCCCCTACACACATACATGTACACACACGCATTCTCAAATTTGTATCCTTGTGGAGACATTTCTTTGTTCTCGTGTAGTAAAGTTTTTGAGTTTGAAAGTGAAGTTTCAAAATGCCCTTATTTTAACCAGAATTAATTTCCTTGGCTAAAATTCGGACTTAATATCCCTTTTCTAAAACTCTTCCATTTGCAACGGATCAACCCACCTTGGAACTTCCTAGTTTTTGAGTAAAATCTAAATATTCGTGAAAACCTTGTGGAGACGTATTCATCTATAGAAATTGCCCTGTGGAGACGTATACAATCTTTTGTTCCCTATTGTGTGCACGTCTCTAGAGGGCACGGTGTATCAGATCACACCCACGTGTGTAAATACCAGCAATCGTGGACGCCCCATTGTCCCTAATCTTTTTAGCGACAGCTCTCATTGGTTTTGTACACGATTTGAGATCGTGGACGTTCGGTCAATCGTGGACGTATTGTTTGCACCCAAATTCTTTTGTCCTACATCCATGATTGCCGGTGTTTACATACGCAAACATGCATATGTTCCATACCTTTTGTGGACATTCTTTTGTTTTCGTGTAGGTAAAACAAATCTGAGAACATTTATTTTACTTGCACTGTGAACACTCTTTCAACCAAAATCTGTGATCATGATTTCCTTGAGTGTTCTTCTTCATTTTGCTACTGATAACCCTAACCAAGAAATGCCTCTAAACTTGTTTTCCGGAGAAGAGAAAACCTTGTGCAGACATGGGCAAGTTCACAAAACATTCACACTTCCTGTCATAGTTCCAAATGCTACTTCTGCAAAATTCTGTTCTATTTTTTTTTCCCTCTCGCACTGCCTCATTTTGGAGATCATACTTCCATTCTATTCTCAATCCTGCACAATATTGCATTGAATTTTACGGTAACCTCTCCATCAGCAAGCAGGTGTGGAGCTTCAATTGTGGTATTTCATTCGGTTGTTTCTTTTTTTTCCCTCTTGCACTGCCTCATTTTGGAGATGTATGTACAGTGGAACGCTATAACAAACATCGCGGGATCCACAGAAAATGTTTGTAATTGCGATCGTTCGGTATAGCGATTTTAAGCTGCCGGTGCTCCGGTACTCACTTTTCAATAAATAGCGCCCTTCATAACTCCACTCTGCACGCCCTGGTAGTTACTGAAAAGACGACTTCGAACACGTGCCGACTATTGAATTATTTAATTATACAGTTTTGAGCTTACTACCTACATCGATGGGTGGCTTTCCCCTTCTATGCCTTGGGGAAATAATAGCCACTTTCGCTCTTCTGTTGACGGTTTTCAACACCAATGTTCGGTTGGTTTTGTACACAAAAATCGGGAGCAAAGGACGATGTTCGGTATAGCCGAATGTTCGGTATAGCAGTGTTCGGTGTAGCAACATTCCACTGTATCATACTTCCATTCTTAGTCTCAATCCTCCACAATAGTACATAAGTTTAATTTTATACTGACCTCTCCACCAGCAGATGAGTGTGGAGCTTTTATTGTGGTGTTTCCTTTGGTAGGGCGTACCGTACCTGCAGAGAGATTGCCATGTTCCGCCATGGTTCAGCCTCCCCCTCCTGGTAGGGTGCAGGTCCTGGCTGCTGGATGCCCTCGTGCGTCTATCCGGGACGGTCTTGTCTTGAAGACCTGGGCGCTCTGGGGTCCAAAACTTCACTTTTGGTAACAAACAGGGGAAGAAATTGCATTACAATTACATGTACTTCAAACAATTAAAATGAATACTTGACCGAAATATAGCAGGTGCTTCCCAACTCGACACATGACACTGACTGTGGCGGAAGACGGACAACATAATGCATCTAGGCAGAGTAAAAAATGTACATGACATTTAGACTTTGTAGTTCATCAGTTTACGCTTTAGAAACACATGCACTCACCCTCTTTAAAGCAATAGAAACTTAATCCCCACTTTTCAGATGTCTGTATCCAATTTTGTGTAATTTCCAGGTTTGTTTGCACACATTAGCATATATATATACATCTAAATTCCAATACGAAAAAAGTACACGAACAATAGACGTCTGAAAAAGGGGGACTGATTTGCTATCGCTTTAATTTTGCGCTTCGAATACAAATTTATATAGTTTGTGAAAATAACAACTTGGCAAATTTTAAGTTCTACATGTTCGGGTACATTGCGTGGGAAAGATTTCCATATCTGGCCATCACTGTTATTGTTTCCTTTAGCTTTAGTGACCTATGAGCCATCAGAAAGTGATAATATGCCCTAAAATTAAAAAGACAAATTAGCAGGGAGAATATTAAATTACCGAGAAAACGCTTAGAAATTGTCAGACCAGTCTCATACTGGGTTTGTGCACATATCAGGGTGACAATTAGTGTGGCCTTTATTTAAGACCCATACTGGCCATAGTTCTATGGGTAATTTATGGGGCTATTTGTCATTTTGTGACCGGTTCAACAACGAAACGATCGGGGACCAGTTTACGGTCCATGTAACTGCCACTGTGAATGTAAATGTATGTACAACGTAGATCGTTTTGTTGTTGAACCGGTCACAAAATGACAAATAGCCCCATAAATTACCCATAGAACTATGGCCAGTATGGGTCTTAAATAAAGGCCACACTAATTGTCACCCTGATATGTGCACAAACCCAGTATGAGACTGGTCTGAAAATTTCTAAGCGTTTTCTCAGTAATTTAATATTCTCCCTGCTAATTTGTCTTTTTAATTTTAGGGCATATTGCCACTGTGAATGAATACATGTACCAATCGAAACTTACTCAGTTTTGACTTGAGACCGTAAAATTAGAGCCAACAAATGTCTGCAAATTGACGACAGACAGACGATTACCGACGACAAAATTAATGCTGGATTCCTGAGCATCAAAAACACTACGTCCTCGCCGCCAGTAGGATTTCTTATGTATACATCTTTCCTTCCTCCATCGTTATACTTGGACAACTGTTAAAACCGCGCAGACTGACTGTACAGATCTACAGCTTACACGCGCGCGAAATAACCATGCTTTATTTGACCTTTCAAATGACCTCGGGTATGGAACGCCTTGTCACACAAAATAATACAAAATTATCTTGCAACATATGGAACGCCTTTGATACAACATTGATTGCCAGGACGCATGCTTAGTGTTTGTACCAATGGTCTGGGAGATCGCGATGATTGCCTCCGTCCTTAGTCCCTGGCAAATCGCCCCCGGATCTCTCGCATAACTTGCCTCATCCAGCGATCTGGGTTATCACAGTCAGCCTTCGATGCATGCAGGGGGAATTCGGTCCAAAATGTAAATACTTTTAGCCGCCACTTGATCCTACTTTATTCAAATATGTTTTGGATTTAGGGCTAGACCGACTGTGTAAAGGAAGACGCGTCAAGTTCGTTCCAAAATAAGAAGGCATGCAATTAGGGGAAATAGCAACATAGGGCGTTAAGTATATTTTTCAGGAGTCCGATGGGCTTAGCCTACATCATACCGTCAAAAATCTAAACATGCCTCAAACAAGTGAAGACGTTTCATCAATGTTTTCTCGAAAAGTCACTTTTCGAGAAAACAGTGTAATATATGTTCACTGAGCTGAATCTGGATGCGGGTTAGGTTTTGAACACTAGCAGCAGCAGCTCACTATAACGGTCGCCGACTCGCCGTCCAGTATGTGAATTAGCCATGGTCGCCAAGCAAGTTATTTTCACTACAGCATTTCTTAGAAAGTAGGAATGAAAGTTTCTGTATCTTGACCTCATTCTTATGTTGAACACATTTTCTAAAAATCTGATGAAAGGATCAAATTAAAGTAAAACAACTTTTTCGAACAAAGTCGCTGTCACAAAATGAAGAATTTCCTACGGTATCATCTTTGTTTGTTTTTTTATAAATGTTGAAAATGTTCTTCAGACTCGATCAGAATGTAGATTAAGAGTGAAAATCTGTGCCTCAATTGAGATTGGAGGCTCATCAATGCGAAAAGTTTTGGAGGATCATACACTGAAACAAACGTTCAAGTCATCTGGTTTTTAATAATAAAATCTTGTTACTCTTTTCCAAGGAAATGATATACATGTGGATCAGATTTACTCGAATTCATGTGAGACATGTAGACCTTTTTAACGTTAGTACTCTTCTTTATTTTGAGCGGCGTTTTGAAACGAACAAAATGCATGAAAAGTAAATGATCCTATGTCTTTCAATTTGCCTCCGACAAATCCCAAAGCCACCACCAAGTTGACGATAAAATTGTGTGCTTGGAATGGGCCTTAATGTAAAGGAATAATCCTGCCATGCATGACTGTTACTTGGATAGCCTTTCGCCAAGGCCATCGTGTTTTAGAGCGGCCGAGCTGCGAAAGCCCAAAAGCGACTGGAGCAAAGATTAAGTCAGCATGCACGAGTGGCAAAGCCACGAGACCTTTTCGAACTTGATTTTGTTGAATTATTCATTGTTGTTATGCAAATAAGAAGAGTGCTGAAAGGTTAACCAATCACAACGCGGATTTTGCCTAGTCGCTTCCATTTGTGAAAGAAGGGTGAGTAAGGAAAACGTAAGAGCAAATAACTGTAAGTTCAGATGAAAAATAAGTTCATACACTCAAATAATTTCTTGAAATACTTTGATAAGTAAAATTAAAATAAGATAATGTAAGAACGCCGCTTTGTCTAATGCCGGCGAACTTGGATGGATGAAACAGCTGACTGCGTTCGACCGCAAACAGGGACGATTCAGGGAAATTCCCTTTTGCAAAACAGTTTTTTTTGTCAGTTGTTTTTCTTGTTCAGAGAACGAAAGGAAGCTGTTCATATTCCACACATGATTTGTCATTGTGTATACATGTTTTGGTATAGTAGGCCTTACTGGTTGGCAACCATTGAAAACTTGTTTGAACTGGTTGTCAAGGCACGTACGCCACGGTCAAAGCTGTAGGGCGTTAAGTATATTTTTCAAGAGTCCGATGGGCTTAGCCTACATCATACCGTCAAATATCTAAACATGCCTCAAACAAGTGAAGACGTTTCATCAATGTTTTCTCGAAAAGTCACTTTTCGAGAAAACAGTGTAATATATGTTCTCTGAGCTGAATCTTGATGCGGGTTAGGTTTTGAACACTAGCAGCAGCAGCTCACTATAACGGTCGCCGACTCGCCGTCCAGTATGTGAATTAGCCATGGTCGCCAAGCAAGTTATTTTCACTACAGCATTTCTTAGAAAGTAGGAATGAAAGTTTCTGTATCTTGACTTCATTCTTATGTGGAACACATTTTCTAAAAATCTGATGAAAGGATCAAATTAAAGTAAAACAACTTTTTCGAACAAAGTCGCTGTCACAAAATGAAGAATTTCCTACGGTATCATCTTTGTTTGTTTTTATAAATGTTGAAAAAGTTCTTCAGACTCGATCAGAATGTAGATTAAGAGTGAAAATCTGTGCCTCAATTGAGATTGGAGGCTCATCAATGCGAAAAGTTTTGGAGGATCATACACTAAAACAAACGTTCAAGTCATCTGGTTTTTAATAATAAAATCTTGTTACTCTTTTCCAAGGAAATGATATACATGTGGATCAGATTTACTCGAATTCATGTGAGACATGTAGACCTTTTTAACGTTAGTACTCTTCTTTATTTTGAGCGGCGTTTTGAAACGAACAAAATGCATGAAAAGTAAATGATCCTATGTCTTTCAATTTGCCTCCGACAAATCCCAAAGCCACCACCAAGTTGACGATAAAATTGTGTGCTTGGAATGGGCCTTAATGTAAAGGAATAATCCTGCCATGCATGACTGTTACTTGGATAGCCTTTCGCCAAGGCCATCGTGGCTTAGATCGGCCGAGCTGCGAAAGCCCAAAAGCGACTGGAGCAAAAATTAAGTCAGCATGCACGAGTGGCAAAGCCACGAGACCTTTTCGAACTTGATTTTGTTGAATTATTCATTGTTGTTATGCAAATAAGAAGAGTGTTGAAAGGTTAACCAATCACAACGCGGATTTTGCCTAGTTGCTTCCATTTGTGAAAGAAGGGTGAGTAAGGAAAACGTAAGAGCAAATAACTGTAAGTTCAGATGAAAAATAAGTTCATACACTCAAATAATTTCTTGAAATACTTTTATAAGTAAAATTAAAATAAGATAATGTAAGAACGCCGCTTTGTCTAATGCCGGCGAAAGGCTATTACTTGGATGGATGAAACAGCTGACTGCGTTCGACTGCAGACAGGGACGATTCAGGGAAATTCCCTTTTGCAAAACAGTTTTTTTTGTCAGTTGTTTTTCTTGTTCAGAGAACGAAAGGAAGCTGTTCATATTCCACACAATGATTTTTCATTGTGTAAACGTGTTTTGGTATAGTAGGCCTTTCTAGTTGGCAACCATTGAAAACTTGTTTGAACTGGTTGTCAAGGCACGTACGCCACGTTCAAAGCTGTTCTGCATATAAAGTGAAAAATAATTATGCATGCTCAGACATTTTGGGAATCGATTCCGGTTGACTCCTGTAAAAATTTTCCTGTAAAATGGCTATAGAAGGCACAATCATAGTGGGTTTACAAAGCCCCCCCCCCCCGGCTCCAAAGAAAAAAACAACAACAAAGATACACCCTTTGCACCCCTACTTCTTCTAGCTTGAAAAGTTACGTTGCGATTCAAATGCTTGAAAAAGATATAACACTTGAAAAAAGTATTATTTACATTTCAATCCAAAATCGTATGTTATCAGGAATTAGCCTATTGAGATGGAACATGCCAAATTGCGATCCTTTGCTCTTGGACTATCACACCAACTTGATTGGTGCGAGGCATTGAGGCATCAGTCAGTGTCTGGTAATGCGAGATGACGAAGACCACGCTCAGAATCTGCAAAAACAAAAGCAAAGAAATTACTTGTTTCCCCTCTCATGATTGATTCTGGAAATGGCGGTGGAGATGGCTATTCACGTACCCTCTGCCGACTCACCAATGTTCATTCTTTACATAATGGAAACTTCCTAAGCTTGCTCAAGACTGTCCTAAATATCTTCCAAATCCTGATTCAATGATTCGGGATTTTGGACATTTTGCTTTTCGTTGACTGACTCACTCCATCCACACCACTGTTGAATACTTACGTTGAACAGCAAACACGACGCAAAGAAGACGAAAACTGATGTCAGATTTGAGGCACCGGGACCCTAATGAAAAGAAAAAGATGACACAATCAATTGAAAAGGTGAGAACCGTCCAAATGTCATTTCTTGAAGTGCATTTTAAAATGTTCGTACGCGTACACCCATACAGTTAGACCGTGTATCCGGGTGATCCGGGTAGTTGAGGGCCAAATTCAATATTTAAACATTTCAAATTGCTTTGTCAAAATATCTTGACATTCCATCCCTTGATTGACATGGAAAAGTTCGATTTCAAATCATTTGCATACGTACAACATTAGCCATCCAGACGATGTGAGCGATCACTTCGATGACAAACATCCAGATTCCACCCCCAATGAAGGGTATCAGCATAATCTTCGACTCCTGTATACATTTACCCAAAAGTCAGTTAACAACATTATATTATTGCTTAATCCTGTTAGGACCAGAGTAACTTTGGTCTTCTCAGGAGAGAGGGAGCACTGTATTCCCCCCCTCCAATACCGCGTCGGGCGATTTTCCTAACATTGGCAGGGATGTTGCCGTCCCGGTGTTGGATATCCCATGACATTCTGGCTGGCAATGGAGATAGGGGGAAAGAGTTTTGTATCGCTTGCTCATGTGGCATGCTCAAAGTTCACCTTTTGTGCGTTTACTATTTCATATAAGTGGCCACTTTCCCCCAATATCTGATTTAAAAAAATACTTTGTGGGATGAAGAGACTTGCGAAGTAAGTTACCAGAATAAACTTTTTACAAAAGTGGCCTAAAATGACGGCCATTTTGGGCCCATTGTGGGGCTTCAGAATTTCATTGTTCACGTTGTTTTCAGGGGCCATCCTGCCAAAATGTCACAAAAGCAAATATATCACGACAAAGCATCACCCTTACCTTTAACAGAAAAAAAAAATCGAATTTTAATATAATTGTTAGGTCCTATATTACAGTTTGTTATTAAAGCTTGCAAATTGCATTTTACCAGATTCAACTTAATGCCTGTGTTCTAATAAAAACACAGTACCAATCATGCAATTATTAAGTTAAATGCTAAAATCTTTTACAGTGGGAATTCCCATTGGAAAGGGGTAAAATTGGAGAGCATATTTTAAGAACCGTACTGGTATCTCCGGTTTGCATCAGCAGTCACTGGATTTCTATGTGAATTAGAGTACTAGACAAGGCTGTTTTATGCTTAACGTTGCTATAAAAATTGAAAATCTATTAGGCGAATTCCTATTTTTGTTATAGAAATTTGATGATTTCTTCAAGCAAATATTATATTGGCCCACCGTACAGGTCTGTTTTCTGTAAACGTTGAACAGTATAGTAATTTTAATACAAGTGCATTCAGTCGTATCTCCCAGTTAAGCTCTCTCATAGTCTACAGTAAAAAAAAAAAAAAAAAAAAAAAATCGAATAACGTTACCTTCCATACGCCGACAAGAACAAGAATTGAGGCCAAGAGCATGACGCAAAAGTCAACATTCTGCAAGGCGAACAAAGTAACGACAGGACCACCTGTTGAAAGAATAGCAAAATCTAAATAAACAGAAAAGAGCATGCCTTATCCTGCATAAAGGACAAAATACTCAATTGTGAAGAGTGCCCCTCTCGATATTGTTATTTTATTCCATTTTATTAATCTTGTTGTACTTACTGCCATACGTTGAAGGGAATGAAGCACAGCACCAAAGTGTCAACGACTCGGATACAATAGTGTAAATCTGTTTGTAAATAAAATGAAGCAAAACTTCAACACACCAGACTCATTTGAAGTCCTGCATTTTGTAAACAACAACAACAACAACAACACCAACAACGCTACAAACCGGGTCAAACGTCACAGAAATGCGACGCACAAGTTGAAGTGCTTACGTATATAGCTGTGAACCATATACGTAAACATGGTATGCATTTTGGGAATGCATTTTGTGGTGCTTAGCACATTTGTAATCAGCAAATGAATTAAATTGACCCCTGTTTTTTTTACAAAAACAAATTGGGCTTGACAAGAACTTCAAGTTTCTCTAGTTGATGTTGCAGAAATCGACATAAAAAATCTTGTGAAAACGGTTAGGCCTACAACTATTTTCGGAATAGTTAAAGTCTCATAAACACATTCTTTGACTCACCATGGTGTACACGGCAGCAGCTGTAGCTTCACTCATTGTGTTCTGCAAACACAACCAACTCTCCACGAGTGGTCGTCTCTTCAAACAGCTACAAATGAGGTCTCCAAGTTCTTCCAAATCGGACATGGTGATCCAAAGTTTCCCTTTTAGTCAGAACCGTTTTTAAGCGGAAAAAAAAATTAACTTTTTTTCTATTTGGCGCCAGTTACAAAAGCCATTAACACCGACAATACACAAAGTATTTTTGACTGATAGCTGTGTGGCCTACAGTTTTCACAAACCTTCAGATTTTCTAAAGCTACAGGGACAAGACGATTTGGAGTGACGATCAAAGTAATTTGTGGATAAAAAATATTGTTTTAGAGAATTACATCGGTCGAAACTGGATTTTTTTTACCCGGAAAGAGTGAAATTTACAATAGGAGAGTTGTTCACTTTTGTTAGAACAAAACTGAGCAAACTTGAACCACCTTGCACTTCGATAACAAAAGAGAGGATCATATTCTGAAAGTTGGTCGTTGCAATTTTGTTTATAAGGGGTTGATGTGGGTTTGATGTGGTTATTTTCTCTACCCCTGGACGGTTGCTATGAGACACCACAGTGTCATATATCTCTTTATGGTTAGAATAATGGCGGAGTGGCGTGAACAAAAACTTGCTTCGACCATTATAGCAAGGCTTTGACAAGGTACTTTCCCTAGCTTACCCCGTAAACATCAATAGCCTATTGAAATGCTTCTAAGATAGGAGTTCGATATCCATAATGAGTATCCAGATTCCCACAATGCGCGTGACAACTTGAAGTATATATACTTGTAAATGTATATCGAGCTCAGACCTAAACAGGATTGTATTATTGGGTTTTGCTCTTCACTGACGTATTTTGTAATCACTCGGGACAACACTGAATACACAGTGCTTATAAAAAAAAATACGTCGTTTAGGCCCCCCAAAAAAAGTCTCCGGTTTCTGGTATGCGCGCGCGTCGCCGTAGCCATGCGCGTCGGCAAAATGAAAAAGTTTTTTTTTTCAATAAAAGATGATGTCTCAAAACCGCCAAACTCACTGGTTTGACTGGAATCCTGCTGCTGCACAATTTTAACGTGTTTTTAGATTGGGTTATGGTCGAGAATAAGCTTTATGTGGCCTCTCTGGACTCCCATATATTTGCACTAAGTTTAGTCGGGCACCATTTGCAGTCATCAGCCGACATTTAAAGAAAAAAAAAACAGGTAAAAAAAAAAAAAAGCCGCGTCGCCGCACCACTTTTTGGGCAAGCTCCATACCAGAAACCGGAGACTTTTTGTGGGGGGGGGGGGCCTTAAGGGAAAAGCCCAATTTTGAATTTACATCACCTGACATTAAAAAGTGAAGATGCTATTTATACGTACACTTAAACATTCATAATAACTTCCATATTTTTTGAAGTTCTATTCACGTCATAATTAACAAGTATCCTCTCTGAATAAGTACCGGTACGTTGCACATTGCTACTGCGGTGACGTCATCAAACCGGAAATAAGGTAATCATGTAAATAAAATGTATACTGAAATTTATCCAAACCCCAAAAGGTGCATTGTATTTCCAAATTCAAAGAATGATTCAACTGCAAAGGCTGAATATCATATAGTTCTCTTTCTGTTCTGACATTAAAATAAAATAAAATAAAACTTAACTGGACAACCTCACATGAATAATTGAGAACACGATCACCCTGTGTTTGTAATTCAACAAACGCGAATGTCTAGTTTTTTTTTTTTTATTCACCCTAAGGTTTCTTATTTTATAATTTGCTTCAAAGAATAGAAGTTCTTGCTCTGTTTTCTAATAGTTAAACAACATTGACTTTTAGGACAAGGTTTTACATTTTTTATCATCCCATTTTTTTTTATTACAAATAAACCTGTACTTCTTGCATAAAAGCGAAATACTGTTGAAAATTTGTCGTATAAAAATACTGCCGAGGCCAAATTCAGAAAACAAATTGACATGAGTTAGGATTAAATAAGTAGTACTTTCTAGCTTCATTATCCCCCCCCCCCCCAAAAAAATGAAAGGAGTCACCGCCACCTGGAGATAAATTTTGTCCATAATTGTGTTTCATCATGTAATTCTAATTTCAAATGTTTTATCTGCTACAAAAAAAGTTTTGATAACTGACTCTTCTTGACCATTTAAGTAAGTCAACCGACTAAACTGATAATACTATTAGGAGGCTCCTGTACAGCGCGTGCCAGTACGCTTGCTTGCGCTAACTGATTTGGCCGATGTGGACAAAATAAGGGTACGGAATACTAAAATGTTGGAGCAACCCAGAAGTTGACCGTCCGCGAGATAAACTTGATGACAAGTCGTTACATAGTCGTATTTACAAGTTGTCCGTGAACTTCAGTCGAACTCCATCGGGGCGGCTGGTATAAGACTTGTACGTAATCGGCCGGGTTGCGACTATCTAAACGACTTGACGATTACGTTCTCGCACCGTATGCAGTGCATTTTTTCGTTGCATTCAGTCGCGCACCGCTATGCAAATGAGGACTCATTCATTCCGTTACATGGGGAGATCTTCTCAAAACGTCAGGGACATGTTTGCAGTTCTGGCGACGTATTTAACGACCAATAGTCTCAGATTGGTCAACTGTCTATAGAAATAAAATGCATCATTGTGATTTAAGGCCCTAAGTTGATTCATTTGAGTCGTGTATGACCCATAATGAAATTTGTAATGTTACAACACAAAGTACAAACCCTTGAAGTAATGAGAATGATCTCGCATGGCGGCCAAGAATGCACTATGGAATCTGAACCAATCAGAGTGCTGGCATAGAATTCGCTAGCGATTCAAAATACTCCCATATGCTGTGTGCAAAATTGAAAACGCAAGTCGCTAATTGAACTTCAATGGTTAGCATCATTTGGTCTGGGAACTAGACTACGCCCATATTGCAGCGATATTTTGCGTGCGTGTGGAGCCAGCAACCGGTAGGTACCGTGCGCAAAACAATTACCGACTTTTCACCAAGTCTACGACATTCAAGTTGACAGGGATATTTTAGGGGAAGTACCAGGGGCTTTGAGGTAGTTGTTGTGCTGTCGCATAGCAATAGTCCCGGTGGGAGGCCTAATTAAAATAACCATATAGCCCATTATGTTTGCGGCAGTCGTGAAAGCTGGTTCATTGTGGGCAGTGAAAAACTCTCTAGCTTTTGAAAATTTAAAAGAAACGAAGTTTGTGAAAAGGATAGGTCACACAACTATCAGCCAAATACATTTCTGAACCCGGTGTTAGTAACTTTCTTTTTGGACTTGCGCCATTTTAAGTTGCTGCCTCTTTTCATTAAGGCCGGTTCTGACTATAACAGGATTTTTTTTTAGTCTTTGGATCAGCTGCACCATGTCCGAAACCGAATCACTCGGAGAGGCCATCTGCCGCTGTTTGAAGAGTAAGCCACTCATAGGGAGCTTCTGCTGTCTGGAGGACACGCAGAGCGAAGCTCGTGCTGCAGCTGTGTTCACTATGGTGAGTCAAAAAATGTGCTTGGGAGTTGCAAAATAAGTCCGAAATGGAATTTATAATAACCATTTAGACAATATTTTTGTTGTGTCGATTTCAACTAGTCTTTTGCATTGATTTCAAGCACACCGTCAACAACCATGGTTCAATATCATTCAGCTATATTACAAAAAGAGTGCTAAGCACCAAAAGTACGTTTAATATCAGGCCATATAATGTTTATTGTGACTGGTTCAGTCGCAGTTAGCACTGAGCACTTTGAATACCGCTACATAGACACAAGGGCGGATCCAGGGGGGGGGGGGGGGGGGGGCCAAAGGGGGCCATGCCCCCCCCCCAAAAAAACGAAACCAATTTTTTTTTTTATGTGACACCGCAATAAAGGTAGGCAATGAGTACACCACCATCTTTTTCTCAAAAAAACATTGGTTAAAGTGGTCAGAAATTGCCTCAGATCCCACCACAGAGCATCTAGAATCCAAAAAAAAATTTCGGGGCCCTTAAGCGGGCCCCGAACCCCACGCCGTAATTTTGTTGACCCACTTTTTGGGGGGACCAAACATTTTTTTGACCCCACCCAAAATTGTGTTCTGGATCCGCCCTTGCATAGACAGAAGGTTCGATGGCAACCTCGTCCCCAGGGTGTCGAGCAGTACCGCCCACCACTACCTGCTCTCTCACCCTTGTTGTGTTGGATCATTTGCATATGTGCAAGATTTTTGAGCACGTATGTAAATGAGGAGTAGTCTGGTGCCTGCATGGGCGTTACATTAGCGTTTGTTTTTGTATGCGGTGTCTGGGGTAAAAACAGCATCAATTCGTCGTGCCGTGAGTTATGAAAGCACGATTTTGTTTTAAGTTGAAATGTTACAATCTGGCCCGCCAATATGCAGTATCACATTTCATATTAATATGAGCAAACCGGAAAGGAAAGGAGTATTTTTGAGAAGGTGTGGACGTTATAATTACCATGATCGTGAAAACACGTAATGCACGTTGGAAATAACAACACCAACTACACCATGTAAATCCATTACTAGAAAATTGCGGTATCGAATCCTGAGGATACAGGACGAAAGTTTCCTATCCAGGGCTTACTTTTGGAAACGAGGTTGGAAATAAAGTAAGCACTGGGGACGAGGTTGGTTCGATGGTGATTGTCCCAATAACCCTCTGTACTAATTGCGTCACGCAATGTTTACCTCACGCAATGTCAACTCGGTCCCAGGTCAAGTCGGTCCCAAATTAACTTGATCGGGAGAAAATGCTCTAGCAAGGCATTATATTGGCAAAAATCAAATTGTGCCATGTTATGGGGCCGTGCCATGTTAGGGTACATCAACAATACGTGTTAAGTGTTACGTCATACACCGCTGATATCACGCCTTGCTGAGGTCACGCGTTCCACATTTCGTCATTTCGTGGGCACCGCTACATAATAAAGCAAGGTTTGTGTGGAATGCGTAACCTCGGCAAGGCGTGGCCTCAACGGTGTATGACGTAACACTTTAACGCGTTTTGTTGATTTACCTATATGGAGCTATAACATGGCACGGCCCTATAAGGCCCAAAAAAAAATATTCGGTCTCTGGTCAAACCAAAGTTCCAGAATTGACGCGGCCACGCGGCTTTTTTTTTTTTTTCTTTTGCCTTTTTTTTTTCTTCAAGCTTGGATTGTACAGACAAGGTGGGGTACTATTTTGCTTTTTTGGTGTCCTCATGTACATTGGTGTCCTCCATAATTTGCCTTGGTGCTTTCGATCATTTGCCTTGGTGCAATTTCCCATTCCTTGGTGCTCTTTGGTAAAAAAAATTGAGGAGGTGCGGAAATAGAGGGCGCAGTTGGAGCTACCGCGGAACATTTTGGAA